TGTCTTCACAAGAATGCTTACGATAAGATGGGTACTCACGGGATGTTTTTTTTTTAACGGATGGGCAGTTCAAGGTCCGAGCTAATGCCGTGACAATTGCCACCGCAAGTCGCCATCACTTCCTTCCTTCTGCCAGAGCCCCCCCTCCTCAGCCCGTCACACGGTTAGACACGTCGACCTCCTAGCTGGGTCTCCTCTTACGATTTCGACAACACCACCACCACCACCATCTGGTGGCTCTTTGTTCTTCCTCTTGTTGCACGGCGAGCGTTGTCGAGGGCGTTCACGAGATTTGGCAACGATGATCACTATTCAGGGAGCCGAGAGCCACTCATTGCTAGGTTATTGCTGTTGTTGGTTTGGAGGTGCAGAATATTCCCCTCCTGTGGGAGGGAGGGCTTCCTTCCCATGCCGTCACGAAAATTGCAAAGCCCCAAAACCACACAGCTCCCTACACAGCTCACCAACACCGCCACTAAACGCACCACACAGCTCACCAACACCGCCACTAAACTCACCACACAGCTCCCTACACAGCTCACCAACACCGCTGCTAAACTCACCACACAGCTCCCTACACAGCTCACCAACACCGCTGCTAAACTCACCACATAGCTCCCAACACAGCTCACCAACACCGCCACTAAACTCACCACACAACTCACCAACACCGCCACTAAACTCACCACACAGCTCACTACACAACTCACCAACACCGCCACTAAACTCACCACACAGCTCCCTACATAGCTCACCAACACCGCTGCTAAACTCACCACACAGCTCCCCACACAGCTCACCAACACCGCCACTAAACTCACCACACAGCTCCCTGCACAGCTCACCAACACCGCTGCTAAACTCACCACACAGCTACCTACACAGCTCACCAACACCGCCACTAAACTCACCACACAGCTCCCTACACAGCTCACCAACACCGCCACTAAACTCACCACACAGCTCGCTACACAGCTCACCAACACCGCCACTAAACTCACCACACAGCTCCCTACACAGCTCACCAACACCGCTACTAAACTCACCACACTGCTCACCCACACTAGGACTAAGCTCACCACCACCACACAGCTCACTAATACTCAACTCGCCACACGGCTCACCAACACCAGTATTAAAGTCACCGCAGCTCACCAACACTAATACTAAATTGACCACACACCTCACGAAGACAAGTACTAAACTCACAACACATCTCACACACACACAGATGCCCCTGTGGTGTAGGGATTAATGTGGGCGAGAACGGCAACACAATATTGTCAACACCAGTGTTAGCATACACGCCAAATGTATATCCACGTGCACAATGTCATTGTGCAGTCGGATCCCCGGACAAGTTTGGTAGCTCCATGAATGCATTGGCCTGCCACTTTGTAATTCCTTTTATGGTCAGGATATGTCGAGGAACTTCCGGGCAGCTACAGCAGGTTTTATTTGGGAACGGGACGTCACTGGGCTGTGTCAAGTTGGGGGGCTTCATCATTCCCGTTGACATCTCCCATCAGCCACACACCACCACAACCAGCTGCTGCTAATCACTTGGGGCAGATATAGAAAACTTGTTTCAACTATGCGAGAGGCCAAGCACTAGAGCCGCCGTGAGGTCAACACACATCAAAGCGATGTGACAATGCCGGATATTTGCCTAGGAAAGCGTCGCTGATTATCGAGATGGGTCCATCCACATTGGGATGTTTGGCCAATTCCTTTAATAGAAGTTTGGCTTCATGTGGGAGGAAACCAGAGAACCCAGACCCTGTCGCCTGTATTATAATACATTATAATTATAATATATTATAATTAGGTTATAATACATTATAATACAAGGGGGTTACACTCAGCCCCGAGCCATACCTCACAGCCCCATGACTACAACACATGGCAAGCCCTGGTGGTCACCACCAACCCAAGTACCAACCAGGATTACAACTGCTTAGCTTATTCACCTCTGAAATATGACAGTTTCAGACGTGGGAGAGCTTCATCCAGCAGCGAATTGAACCATGGCTGATGATGATGATCATCATCTGTGAAGAAGAGCATTATAACTCATCGGATTCCTCCAGTATAAATACATCTTCTGATTCTACTTCTGGTAACGAACCATAATTATTTCAGAGACACTGTGTCAGTGCTGTTGCGATCTTGTACTTGATTCTGGGTTTAAACCTAAAACAAAAACATTTATTTGACAAGGTAAGGCCCACTGAGCTATACAGCTCTTTTCTCAGAAGCGACCTGGTCACAAATGAGAGCCAAACGAAGGGGCTTGTAACGTGGAAATTGAGAGCAGCCATATACTCCAAACGCACGTTTCTAAATGTTGAGAGGAAAACTGGAGAAGTCGGATAAAAGTTCACGTGACCACAGGGAGAGCTACATGCAAACTCCAAATATACAGGCGCCAGGGTCGGGATCGAACCCACGGACCTCCTGCATACCAGCTGAGGTAGTTAACATCTCGCCACTACGACGCCTTTGCATAGCGTGATTATGATGATAGACAATGAGGGCTCGAGTTCTTGTTGGACACAGAATCAGCATATTTATTTGTACTGGAGGAAACCGATGAGCTTTAAAGTTATTTTTAAAATCTTTATATTAAGTTCACTTGCTTGCTTGCGCGCTTACGACCGTGCACATCTTTCGGTCGTTTTTTTACCCACTTCCCGTGATCCAATCGAGCTGACATTTTACACACTGACTCGTTGTGCGTGACAATTAATTTTCGTGAAAATTTTTGTTCCAAAATTTTACACTTTTTAGGATTTTTTTTTATATTTAATTACCAATTGCTTAATGGTGGCAGCCAATCATCTGGCCCATATGTGGCAGCCATCTCAAGCCAGAGGACGAGATGACTCTAGCCGCCACGCATATAAAGGATTTATAGTGAAAAACTTTGTTTTTACGGGTTAATTTTTTCGTGATAAGACTCATGTTGGTTATGAGAGAATGGGGAGAGCATTTACTGTCTCTGATTATGTCAGCTGTTTCTTTTTTGCAGTAAATTTTTCACTTTTTTAAATTTGGGTCACAGCATTCGACTCTCGCGAATCTTGGCGCTACAGAGCCATTAGTGTTTGTCTTACGGCCAACATAAAGCTTGGCTCAATAAATACATTTGTTGCAATACTTTATACTATTCATAATAAAGAATTAATGTAATCATATCCACTCAACATAACCCCGTCGTAAGGAATGTTTTTTATGAGGAGCCTAATTTGGAATTCAAGCCAATTCCCATGATTGTCATAATAGTTATTTTCATTGGCATCATCACCATGATCATCATCATTATCATGGGCAGCGACAGCTGCAACAACATTGCGAGCAACGAGCACCAACACTACCACCAACAGTACCCGAGCCGTTATCACTACCACCACCACCACCACCACCATTAACATCACCAGTATCAGCAGCATTATCTCCAGCATCATAACCAACACCATTAATACCATCATAATTCTCATCATCACCGACATCACCATAATCACCGACATCATCATCATGATCATCAGCATTATCACATGAATGAGTTGACATCACAGAAGTCACCAGTGGTTGGCTCTGTGGGCCCTGGTATCACGACGTGAAAACACAGCAATGTAACGTGAATTGAACGTTTGCCTCCCCATCCTCGGCAACACAAGGCAGCGCGGATCCGGTGAAGTGAGGAGCTTCCACGGATTTCCGCTCTGTGCCTGTGGAAGGAGCTCCGTTCTCTCTCGTCTTGCCGAGCAAAAGCAGGCGGAGCAGTGACCTAAATAGACACTTGCAGACACCGAGTGGCTCCCTGTTCATAACCAACCGAGAACTCACGTAATCATCATTGCCCCAAAAGCGCTGCATTATCAGAATCCTGACAACTCTGTCATCATCATCATCATCATCCTGGGAACCTGCATCACCATCCGCATGTTTTCTTCTCCTCTTTACTTTTCATCCTTGCCCTCCTCACCTTTATCATCATCATCATCATCATCATCCCAGTCTTATAAGAATCGCATCACCTTGTGTTGTAGAACAATCTCTAGAAGACAATATGACATGGTCTCTTCAATTGCCGCCTCTTATTCGCACTAGGTGGTACACCGTCACATGTCCTGCGAAATAGGTGGCTGTCATGTTTACAATATATAACTACAAGTCTTGCTAAAGCTGGAATTTAACCAAATTAAGTGAAAACATGTGTGCGCAGTCATCAGTGACCACACTGAGCCCATAAGCCCACCCCACTTTCATCACGAGTGGACGAGGCTCAGATTCAAACTCTGGATCTCGGCGGTTGGCGCGGGCTTATTTGCAACCCACCGGCACGGCCACGACCGAGCCTCACGAGGCACCCGTCTAGATGTTTGTTTCGTGCTCGCTGTTGGCGAGCCGACGTGCAAAAATCATGCGCACACGAGCTTGGGAGCCAGCCGCGGTACTTTCGCCGTGCAGCAGGAGCTAAGCGACCCCATTGGCAGCGGTGACCGTTGAGGAATCTCACGCGCTCGTCTCGCGCGCGCCGCTCCAAGCGACGCAGGGCCACTCCTGCGCCTAATTATCATCCGAGCCGTGTTGCTAGCCACAAGGATCGCCACCTGTTCTGGCTTTCCCAGGATCGTTCTTCTCTTTGAGGTCGCTGTCCTGGGATATCTGTAAATTGTCCAGGGAGATGAAAAGTACCCGTCTTTTTTTATTAGCTGCGTGGTAATAAAAATGATATACCACTCAAGATAATGCATTTGCATGTAGCTCTCTGAGATATTATTCTTGTTATATGTCTCAGGGTTTCTGTACTTCACAGGTGGCAACCCTGCCAGGGCAAGTGGTGGTGGTGGTGGAGAGAGTGTTTTGACCCCATAGAATGTTGATGCCAGGGTCACAATACTACATATAATTTGTACCATGGCGTACTAATTCTACTGCAGAAATATTTTCACGAGCCCTCTCACAATACAAATGAGCATTGACGCTGTGGACTGTTTAAAATCTTCGAGCGATATTGTTTAATAACATCTGCAAAAACGGTTTTGGGGACAAAAATAGAATAGGCTGTAGCATTCTCACTGTGACTCCCGCAAACCCGAGTGATGCCGTGCTGATGTCATATGAGTGGACACAACACACCAAAGAGGTATCACAGCAACTGTCACAAAATTAATGTGTAGACATAATCATCGGCATCACCAGTAGCAGCATTATGATGATCATCATCATTAAAATCGGCATCATTGTCATCAGCATCAGTGGTATAGCATGATTGGCATGGACCCTGGTGCAAGGAATTAAATGGGGGGGGGGGGGGGGACTGTCCAATTCACCCATCGTCTTCATAGCTTGGCGTCTGGGCCTCTCGGGTCCTTGTTGGGCCCCAATACAACCCTGCACACTCGACGGCTACACCACAGATCAGCTTCGTCAGCATCATCATTATAATCCTCGCGCTCATCGCCATTGAAACTCGTATCGTTCAGGGTGACCATGTAAGTTCGTACAATATGGTGCACTTTGTTGTGCTTTAAGGAATAAATATTGACGGTGCTGTACATGTGTTTACAGGTAGATTAAAAATCCCCGCTACCGGAGTGGAACACTCACCGCCCGGCGTTTCATTGCCGCCGTTGCGAATCGTACAAACGCTCAACGAAACCGTACAGTCGGTTAAAGGCTGCAAGTCAAAATTGCATATTTACCCTACGGTTGAAAAGAAAAAAAGATTTGTTACAAATCCAACCACACGCAAACCCCCCCCCATCATCGCTTGATATAAAAAAACAGGTGCATAAACATCGAGATGCACACTTATCCCGACCGGCGATTGTGATGTTGAGATTCACCGAAAGTTTCGGAGTTAAATATTGGTGACCGGGGGTTGGTGGGTCATACCGAGATCAGTATATGTGTGAGAGGCGCACCTCGCGAGGCGACGAGGTGGTGAAGGGAGCATAGCAAGTGAGCTGCCAAACGATCCGTGCGGGATTGTGGGTGCTATCTGCCCATGTATGAGGCATGGGTTTTGTCCGGGAACTTTAAAGGTTTCCAGTAAGGATTAGTCAAAATATCCCCATGTGGCAGGGCCCTCCTGAAAGTGAGTCTTTAGACTCGGTGAAGCTTTGCTGAATAGAAAATGGACATTGCACTCTCATTATTATTGCTGTTGCTGCTGCTGCTGCATTGTAATCGCTGTTGTTGTTGGAAGTAGCATGTGAGGTGCGAGGAAGTGTGGGATGACGCACACGCCACCCCGGAGGGAATAATGGGCACCGCTGGTGCCTGCGTCAGCAGACAACAGCAGGTGTCCCAACACTGGTTGTGGCCATGTGTGGTAGTAGTGGTGGTGGTGGTTGTGTCGGTGGTGGGGAGCGGTTGCGCAGCGGTTAGCGCGCTGTGCTGCGAACGCGGTGACCTGAGTTGGATTCCCGCTAACGGCCAAAACCATTGACGAATATCTGAACCGGTTCTGGGCCTCCCCTGGGTCGACTCAGCCTCAAATGAGTACCTGATACAGTTTATAAACATCAGCACTGGGAAGGCAAAGTGGGTCGGGCATCGTGCTGGCCACCCACCCCCTCGTGTGCCAGCTTTAGTAAGTGCACATTAACAGCACTTGCCACAACAGTCTGCAAAGGCTATACGGGGGATATTTGTCTTTGTGCGTATATACATTACTGTAGTTGCACGTGTGCTACGATTAATCGGGAAAGCAGGTGTGCACTACCAGGCGCAGGTCAGATATCACTGATGTTGGCTGTGAGCAGGAATCCAACTCGGGTCACCAGGTTCGTAGCGCAGCGCAGGGCGCCAACCGTTGCACTACCGCTCCACAGCGTCGATCAGTGTGCGTTGTGGCATTGGCCGCGCATGTCCGCGATTGTTTTGACGTTACCGATTGCTCAATGGTTTAGAAGGAACATTGCGTAATCAATTATTTTCCATACGCTCGTGTAATCTGATTGCATCGTTACTGTCATGATTACCTTAAGTTATTGCTCGACTGGGGGGGGCAGCTGTGTTGTGATCTGTGTGCTGCTCTCCTCACATTGACCCGAGCTACTGACTCCAGAACTTCCCCATCGTCATCGTCGTCGTCGTTGTTCGTGAATCGTTATCAATAACAAAACAACAACGGACATAATGATAGAGAGTAATCAGCTCGTACGTGTGGCAAGCATCGGTAATCTGATCACATACTGAAACAAACTAAGTTACAATAAATACATTATCTGGTGGTGCTGAAACTGCACTGTCAGTGGTGCACAAGCACAACTAACAGAAACAAAAATATATACGACAAACGACACTTCGAGAAATGGACCCGTGCTTATGCAGAAGGGCCATTTGTCAGAAACGTCGCCTATTGTAATTTGGGGCATTGTTATTGACGAATGTGGTGAGTTTTTAAGCAATAATGAAGGTTCATCGATACCCAACAATCATTGTTGGGGGTGTAATACTGCTATCGGTGCATCGGTCAATATTGATTGTTAAGCTCGCAACGCATGTATGGAATTCCGTGTGTAAGAACCAACGCTTCTTGAGTCATTCATCTTCTATGCAATTGGGTCACGTCAACCCTGCAGCCACTGGAGGCGCTGCCATTCACAGCTGTGTCAAGGATGTTTCTTAAATCGCTACGAGGTGGATTAGGAATATATATTAACAAGCCCCTGTCACGGCAATGTTTAATTTCAGCTTACTGGATTGATCTGGACCACCAACAGACACAAGGAGTGCCAGAATTGCCCGTGAAAGTTGAGAGACTCGTTCGCCAGAAGTTGGTGACACCTGCCCGGCGGCGGTCTGTGCAAGGACACGCCTGTCCCACGTCAGCCCCGAAACACCGCTCCTGTGCCAGCCACGTAGCAATCCACATCCCCAGCCATTCGACGAATTGTCACGACGCCATTTCACAAATCAATTCACGAATTCCTCCTTTTTCATTTCGTTTTGACTGCCTTACTTTTTCTGTTTGCCGTTTGTTCCCGTCTGTGTTTTTTTGCACAGTTTTTTTTTGCTCAATTACCCTATGTATTAAATTTGCATATTACTTGCATACATCATAAATAATAGATTCTCACTCGCGTGACTCAAAGCGTGCATCACAAGCGCGAAAATAAACTCTCGTCAACCAATCGGTGACGCACAATCCCCTTACATCCCTTCGTCGCTGGCGTGCCCGGCGCTGTGCGTGCCGTTCTTCAATATGCCGTGATGCACCACGCCGCACTCGTCGCTATTGCCCCCGCCTCCGTCGTCGTCGCCGTCCCCGCCGTCCTCCGCCGCCGCCGCCGCTGCCGCGTTGAGGCTGTTGGCCTCCTCGGCGCCGTCGCCCACCAGCAACACGCCGGGGGCGACGCACGGCGGGCCCTTGCACGGGTTGTGGTCGTACGAGATGACCTTGAGGCGCGTGAGCCGCTCCAGGCTGGGGAACTCCGAGATGCGGTTGCGGTCCACGTCGATGATCTCCAGCAGTTCCATGCGCAGCAGCACGTCGGGAAACTCCTCGAAGCGGTTGCCGTAGAGCCAGAGGCCCCTCAGGCTCGCCAGCCGGCGCAGCTCCCGCGGCAGCGCCTTCAGCCGGTTGTCGCCCACCTGCAGCGAACGAAGCTGCGGCAGCTTCCAGAGCACCGGCGGCAGGTGGCGCAGGTAGTTCCCCTCGAGCCACAGCGCCTTGAGGTTGACGAGGCTGCGCATCTCGTCCGGCAGGTCCTGCAGGAGGTTGCTGCCCAGGTAGAGGCGGCACAGCTCGGTGAGGCGGCACAGCACCGGCGGGAACTCCTCGAACTTGTTGAAGTCGAGCGCCAGGATGCGCAGCGAGCTCAGGAAGCCGAACTCCTCGGGCAGCTCGCGCAGGCGGTTGTTGCTCAGGTAGAGCTTCACGATGTGGCCCAGAGCGCAGAGCTGCGGCGGCGCGCGCCGAATCTTGCGCCCGCTCATGTCGAGCATGAGGTCCGAGGTGATGTCCTCCTCGTCCACGGAGGCGTAGCGCTGGCCACCGCCGCACGCCAGCAGAGACGCCTTGCGCACCGCGCCGCCCATCGCCGTCATGGCCGGGGGCCGAGCGCGTGCGCGGCTCACCCCGGCGGCGGCACGCGGGCGAGCTGTGCACGGGATGACAGAGAAGCGGACGGGGAACGTAGAGTGAATAAAGTTGGCCCTAACTACAAACTCCCAAAGCGGTGGTGCCTCGTGAGGTTGAGCAGTTAAAGTGAAAAGTGCATTTGTCAATCCAGGTCCTGGAAGTTAATCTGCTTTACTAGTTCCACGCTTTAGAGCCCTTGCAAGGGTCTCAATGTGTCTCAAACTAGATTTGAAGCTTCCGTGACTGCAAGGATTCATATTCTTAGGTTTTTTCGGTAAAGTCACGTAGATAAAGAATTCAAATTAATAAAAGTATAATAAAAAAGTAAAATAAAAAAAGTAAAATAAAAATAAATATTTTATTTTCATTTTACTTTTATTAATTTTTTTTTACCTACGTGACTTTACCGAAAAAAACCTAAGAATGTGTCTCAAACTCCCTACGATATGACCCAAGAGTAAGATAAACACCAGATTAGGAAGTGATTCTGTCCACCACGATGCTCCACATGTATCGGAAAGTAGTGTTACACAGCTACAGACATTTCAGAGTTTTGGCTTGGCTAATGTTGTACAGCTTTTTTGTATTAACCGCACGAGGCTCTGTTATTGTTGTAACCCGCGACCTCCCTTGAAAAAGAGACCTTGTTCTCAATCGGCTATCATCACAATTAGCCATGATCCATCCGCTGCTGGATGAAGACCTCTCCAAGCTGCCCCCAAGGTCGTGATAGAATATTGTCGTGTTCGTGCTGTTGGCATTAGGCCTCGTCCCGGGGGCTGACTGGCAGATGTGCTTAGGGTTAGAGACATGGCGAGTGTCCGGTTGGCTACCGTATATGACAGGTAGTAAGGCAGGTAGGGCAATGAGACACGTAGGCAGGTAGGTACGTAGGTAATAAGAATTACGTACCATTTAAGTTTGGGGGGGTATTCCTTATTGAAGCTAGCCAAATCGAGCCACGAGGCATCAGGTTCTCTAGAGACGAGTTGTCATGGTTGCACTGGGCATATGTTTACTGCGGTACAGTGCCGTGTTCATGGAGGGAGTTGACGGCGGGCCTGCTGCGTGCAGCCCGCACACCACGGGGACGCAATGGCCAACCCTGCCACGTGGTCGCGTCCGTCGCACATCACGGGGACACAATGGCCAACTCCGCCACGTGATCGCGTAAGTCGCACACCCCCCCTCCCTATCAACAGCGGACAACGGCGGCTAAACGCCGAATGTCTCTCAAATTCCGTGGTCTGTGCAAGGACACGCCTATTCAGACGTGCCCTTTCCCCATAAAATCCAAAAGTAAAAAAATAACCCGTCTCTTTACACCTTCATTTATTTTACTCATTTGTATTTACCGCTTTTACCTTTTTATGCCATTCGTTGTGCGCGGTTGCAATTAACTTTGCTCAGCGGGCGTGGCGGGTTTCTGCCTTTAATTTCTGTTGCTCCACGTCCCCTGCACCGTTCCCGTTCCGCTGTTAATGTGCACCGGGGCCGACGTTTATTAAGGGCGATATTGGCACATACAATAAAGATTGATTGATTGAATGCCCAGTCTGGGGATGGAAACGGTGCATCTGTTGAGAATCGTCCTTGTCTTTTGTATCATGTACGCTTGAACCGCACGACTGACCGGCGCGGTGAAGTATGGTCAAACAATGCCCATTGAGTGACGCGGCATGGGCAGGCCCTTATCCAGAAATGGATTGGCAAAGAGCGGACAATTATTATGTTCAACGTTATTATACCACGATGGGTTATACCTCCAGCACCCGACGAGATTGTCGCGTTTACAAGCATGTTATTTATACGTGCCCAACGTATTGATAAGCTTTTGACCAATAAATCGGGCGGTTTAAGACTTTTTACGAGCCGTGGGGTGGCAGAGAAGTGGACGGAGAACGGAAAATGAAAAGGGGGCCCAAACCCCAGACCAGTGGTGCCTGGTGAGGTTGAACAGAAAAAGTGAAAATAGGTCCAGTTTTGTATGTGCAACTTCTTTCGCGCCGTACGTAGCCGACAGTGCTAATCGGAGGTGCGGGAAAGTTTTTCTGCTTTACTCGTCACATTTTCAAAATATATATAAGATTTATACGTGCCCAATGTATTGATCAGATTTGGACCAATACATCGTTGGCTTAAGACTTTCCATGATTGCATTAAACACCAACATATGGCGACGTTTCGCTGAAACTGCTTCGAGCTTCTTCAGGTAGCGCACCCAGGAATGTTGGCATTACACTCCAGTATGTACTGTACAGTGTTAGGTGGCCTAAACCCCAGACAAACACGCGTCATCATCATATTGACTAGGCAAAAGCTATTTTAAGTTAATTGTCCAAGGGTTGTAACTCGTCCCTACCATGAGAATGTGAAATTTCCACAACTGGCTCCCAAATAATAATACCAACGTCCAGCCAACGTTGGTATGCAGCTGGAATCGTTGGACCAATTTTGGTCCAACGTTCCATATTTACTGGGTATGTGCTGTAAACCCCCCTAACGCTAATGTAGTACTGTAACCACGAGACCGCTAACGTGGTTTATTAAGTCATCATGGTATACTTTATAAAACAAAGCATGTTAAATTGATTTCAACATATACATATATAGATACCTAATAATAATAACAAGGCCATTGTCGTTACTGAGTCTCAATGCTCTTATTCAGGAGGGTACTCCTCCATTGGCATATTGGGCCAATTTAATTTTTACTTCATCAAAATTAGTTTTATTTTGTTCTGGCATGGAATGACTAAGCAAACTGTGTCGTCAATACCATCCACCACCATCCGACACAGCCAAACAAATGACAATGTCATGTCGTGTACAATCGTTTAGCAATGCGCCAATGATGTATTGTTTCAGCTCACTCGCAGTAAGTTGGAATAAACATTCTCACAAACAAATTTAGCAATTTGATGCGCAACGTTTCATTAGATACTGGTGTCAAACATCAGCACAAGATGTAGTAAGACAGAATAAAAAAAATATATACATGTCGAAGGAGTCCAAATAACTGAAGTTTCAAACTATAAATGTTTTGTTTCACGTCGGTGGAGGAATTGCGGATAACCCGAAGAAACCCCACCACGTACGAGGGGAGAACACGTATTAAAGGACCGCTGTACAGATAGGTTAGCGAACCCACTTGCAGCGTGATCCTCAAACCCTTGACTTCAAAGCCCCAAGGTGCACAAATACACTCACATCGCAAACATTCTCCCCAGGCTGGAACTGTTATAAAAGGCGTTAATTAAAACCGAATATGAACACGACTTTTAACATGAAAACACACAATTTCACAGCTACGAGATGTTAAAAGAAAACACATTTCTCGCACGCCTCTAAAATGCAGTACAGCAAGTAGGTTACTAACCTATCCATGCACAATTTTTCAGTCGTTATCTCCTCGTGTGGAGTGGGTATTCTCCGGTAACTCAAATGTACTGTTCATACTAATCTATACCTTGAGTTTCCTGGCTGGCTGCTGGCTGGGCTCCTCATCATCCCAACTGTAACTCTGTTTTAGATTTGAAGCTTTCGTGACTGCAAGGATTCATACTGTTAGGTTTTTTCGGTTAAGTCACGTAAGTGTAACTCTGTTTGTTAGTTCCTGTGGGCCGTTGCCACCGTACCTAGCTGGGTAACTGGCTCGCGGGGTTTCCCGTGTAAAAAAATCTCGAGTTGGATTGTAACGGCGGAAAAAGTTCGGAAGACGAATAATAACAGACAGCGACACACCGCAGAGGTGGCAGTAACGCATGCAGAAGCCTGGCCACGTTTCATTTCAAATGACTCGAACATTTCAACTTGTGCTCCGATTAATATCATTCTTTCGCCAGAATATTCTTTAAATTGTCGAGAACATTAAAACATGAAATAACTTACAATGCATATTATCTCGGCAACAACGTGTTGCCTACAAGCTAGAGTAATATTATCAACAATTGAATACATAATGCGCGTTGGTTGGGCTTGTAAGAGAACCGCTTACCTTTGCAGAGGTTCTATCAGTTAGCGATTATTGCCACGGCTGTAGTGCGGCGGCTGCTGCTGCTATTTGTGTTGACGTTGGTGATGATGTCCATCACTTCATCTCACCTCTGCAGGACTCTCAACCCCGTAAGCCTCTGTGGCCGTAAGGACATCCTCAGTCAATCGAGTACGCAGGGGTCAGTTTAGTGTCTAATTACGCACGGACACATCTGCGCCAATGCACACTTTAGGATTACCAAGTTAAACACACGGGCAGTAAGTCAGTCTACACGCGTGTTGGGTGTCTAACTGTGTACACGTGTGTGTGTGTATAGACAAGTTAACTAGACTCTATGCTTTATCATTACGTTTAATGTTACACTTCTCAACATGTGTGTTGTTAGAGACGCGTGTTGTGTATGCGCTAATTTAGCAGATCGGTGTGTGCGTGTGTGTAATGCAGAGCGCGTCAGTTAACATACCACGATCAGGTATGCAGGCTGTCTATCAATGAAAGAGTTAACGGATCGCTCGCTCAGTCACGCAAATAGGTGCTCGCAAACAACACTCGACACAGAGAGAGCCTTGCTGCCACTTGCACTCTGGTGCCCAGTCGGAGTGAGTGGATGAGTGTGTGTGTGGAGAGAGCGTGCGGAGATTAGGAGTGGGGGTGTGTGTGTGTGTAGTGCGTATTGGGAGAGAAGGAGGAGGAGAGAGGGGATGATGATGAGGAGGAGGAGGGGAGAATGTTGTGTGAGTGTATGGGGGAAGGACGGCAGGAGGTGGGTACTTGTGCTTGGGGAGATGAGAGTTGGAGGTGTGTGTGAGTTGAGGAAGGAGTGGAGTGTGTGTATGTATGGGGAGAGGATGGGGCGGGGGGGTATGTTAAACTTCTTTCGCACCGTACGTGTATGTGGCTGTGTTACGTGTGCACGGCGGGGAGAGGGAGGGAAGTGTGGGGACGAGCGAAGGGTGTCACCGTGTGTGTGTGTGCGTTAGGTGCTCGCTAACAGCACTTGCCCCAACAGTCTGCTTCGACTATACGGGGGATCTGTGTCTTTTTTATGTTTGGATAATTTATTTTTTTGGAGGGGGTTGAAGTGGGTGGTGCAGGGAGGAAAGCTGGGTGAGTGTGGGATGTTGTGGTGTCCACTGGTGTCAGAGGGGATCTCTCACGGTCAACACCGGCGACGATTATCTGAACCGGTCCTGGGTCTCACCGAGGTCGACTCAGCCTCAAATTAGTATCTGGTGCGGGCGTCTAAAAACATCCCCACTGGGGAGACAAAGGCGGCCGGGCGTGATGTTAGCCACGCACCCCCTTCGCGTGCCGTGCCGGCCTTACTGGGGGGTCTTAGGAGGGGGCTGGGTGTGTGGATGAGTTTGTGTACAGAGTGCGGAGGCTGTGGGCGAACCGTGGAAAATGTTTATGTGGCGATCGGTGTGTGTGTGTCTCTCTGTGTGTGCCTGTGTGTGTGTCTGTGTGTGTGTGTCTGCGTGTGTCTGTGTCTCTGTGTGTGTGTGTGCCTGTGTGTGTGTCTGTCTGTGGATGCGCGTGGTGGAGCGGTGGTGCAGTGGTTAGCGCGCTGCGCTATAAACCCGGCGGCCCGAGTCCGATTCCCACTCACGGCCAACACCAGTGACAATTAACTGAACCAGTCCTGGGCCTCCCCTAGGTCGACTCAGCCTGAAAATGAGTACCCGGTGCGGTGTGTAGTAAACATCGCCACAGGGGAGACAAAGGCGGCTGTGCGCGCTGCTGGCCACCCACCCACCCCTCGTGGGTCGTGCCGGCCTTCAATGGTGCTCACAGCGTTTACCCCAACAGTCTGTTACACAGGCTGCACGGGAGATCTTCGTTTTTGTATGAATGAGTACGTATGTTGAACTTCTTTCGCACCGTACGTAGTCAACCGTGCTAATCGGAGTATAGGGTTATGTGTACGGTATCTGTGTGTGTGGTGTATCTGTATACATGGAGAGGTGTGCGTGTGTTTGTATATAGAGTATTGCATGTGCAGGATGTGAATGTGAGATGTAGTTGGGGCAGTATTAGGAGAGTGTGTGTGTGAGATATATAGATGTGCAGTGGTCGATTATTAATCTTGCACCGGTCTTGGGCCTCCCATAAATCGACTCACCCTCAAATGAGGATCTGGTGCATTGTGTACATTTTGCCACTGGGGAGACAAAGGCGGTCGGGCGTGGTGCTGGCCACCCACTAACAGCACTTGCCCAAACAGTCTGTTACACAGGAGGGAGAGGTCTCTTTGTGTAGTGTTCAGAGTTTGTATGCGACCCAGGTGTGTGTCGCTCTCTGCTGGTCAACCATGTCATGGACATTTTTTTCGTCATGGACACTTGTCATGGACACTTGCTACACGGATCAACTGGTCAATCGGCGCTCGGTCTGAAAGAGTTGTTGAGTTAAGGGGGACCCCCAAGCAAATTCTATATATTCGTCGACAGTGGTTGTCTGGTATGTGGTTGGGTCGAAACTTACGTCAAGCTTTCGTACATGTGACGGCGATGTGCTCTGCCGTTGCGCCGTGTGATACATCTGCGCAGAGGGTTGTTAACAGGAACTCCCTTTAACACGTAGAGGTTTTTGGGTTAGAGCTCGTAAATATAAATGTGTCGTTAAACCCACCACCACCCGACACAGCCAATTATCAAGGTTTGGCACGTAAACAAAACGTGCCAATTCGTTACTTGTACAGCACACCGGTGTGTTGGAGAGTAAACCCACGGCATTTACAATTGGTGGTGGCGGGTTTAACGACACATTTATGTCTACGCAATCTAATCCCAATAACCTCTATCGTGGAGTAACTCGCTTGTAGAGGCAAAGTCTAGTAGAATAGACAGCACCGGTATAAAATCCAGGTCGTTATAGGGAGAAAATCCTGGACGACAGTTTTCATGTGAACTGTCATCTACACAGCTTCTATGTTGGTATAATTCACCAAGTCCGCATTTTTAGTTTTTTAGTTTTTACTAGTCTGACAATTTGTGAGTTGCTAAAGTTAGGAAACATGGTTATCACACTATTATTGGTTGCTATAGTTTCCCGCATTATACATTTAAAAAAATCACATTGACGATGGCAAGAATTGACCCAGTCTTGGAGTTGAAATTTGGCAGAGAAAATGTCAATCGAGATTAATGTTATTGTTTGTATTTAATGATGGCTTTCATTCGCTTAAATAGTGTTAATCGGGCTTAATCTCTCACTGAATATTTTCCAGGTCGCTTGTTTCACTTGAGTAGGCACTGACTCGTAGCCATAAGCAATGCTTTTATCGATGTGGTGTGCCGGGTGTGGATTCTTCTTTCACGTCACCAACCTGGAGAGACCCTGGCTGAAATTAATCCCTGGATGTAGATACGTTGACTGAATTCATTGATGCCTTTTAATCAGATGAATACCCAGAAAATATGTATGGTTTCAATTAAATGTTTGTCTAATAACCTTGTTCATGTATCGCTGTTGTCAACTCAGCACGTAATTTCTCCACCCTGCAATGGAATAGACTACCCCTTAAGGAGAAGTCTACAGTGGTTGTTTTATGGTTTAACCAATCCCTGTCACCAATATGTGGAATGTCCATCACTGCCAATGCACATGAGCACCATGATATCTGTGTACAGACTTGTACACTGAAAGCCATGTATTTTATTGAGTAAACAGAGCTGGTGGTTGAAAGCTTTTATGCACCATCCATGTCACTTGTTTTTTGGGGTCGTGTACGTTACGAGGTGTCGAGTGATGTCTGATTAGTTGTTCTCGAGCGCTTTTACCCCGCTCTGTTTGCTTTAAATCGGAGACCAGCGGAGCCCGTGATAGAAACGGGGGTAGGTCGTGGCATTCTCCTGATGTAGAAGGTTGGTGCTGGATACAGCCACATTTGCAAATGTGATTTGTAACTTTGATCCTTACCTGCGTATCCATAGTTCAATTGTAATGTGCTATTTCATTGAGGTACCGTGTGATGTGTTGGTGTGGTCTGGGACTGTTTTTGTTGTTGTTTTGCTGCCTTGCTCAAGCTTGCAAAAAGTGTTTAAAAATCGGACTTATAACGTTTTTCATTCATTTTAATCTATATTTAGTGACTTGCTTAACTTTGTCTCTATTATGCACTTCTATCTTTTTTTTTGGTATTATTTATTGTTGTAACTTGCTGACCCGCCCCTGCTGGACATGTGTGAAAAAGAGCTTCATAGCTCATCGGATTCCTCCAGTCTAAATAAAGATTCGGTTCCACGCGTGAGAGGGGAGCTAAGCCGCTGTCAGGTGACCTCACCACGCACTGGAGGCAAGGGCACGCATCCTCCCGGGACCCCCAAGGTGGCGTGATGGGACCTGGGTGTTGCAAGAGACACATGGTGCGGTGGTGAGCTCCGCGAACTCTGAAACCACGCAGGATCGTACACAGCCAGATACCCAGCCACTCCGTTAGTCAGTCAGTCGCCTTGTCAGTTAGTCATCTACCTAAGCTAAGGTCCGGAACCTTGGGATATTTTCTTTTTTAATCACACCTTGACTTTTGAGTGTCGTGCAAGGGATCTAAGGTTTCCTTCTTTCACCTGCGAAATATTTCACGCATTCGATCAATTCTCTCAATACGATTCCTTTTATTTTTTATCAAGAATATATTACTGAAATGCCTTGTTTAGTGGTACAACAGGGAATGTTTTAAATCGGTTACAGCTTGTCCAACACTCCGGTGCCCGGGGTTTGTGTGGAGTGAGGAAATGTGAGCACATCACACGTATTCTCTGTTCCCTGCATTGGCTTCCAGTAAAATACAGGATCGAATTTAAAGTTCTTGTATTGACTTTCATGGCCCTGAAGGGGTTAGCTCCATTATATCTCAGCGATCTGCTGAAACCGTGTGCCCCTGTACGGCAACTTCGATCCACCAAATCTGGATGTACCTCGGACAAATCTGCATTCAGTGGGTGATAGAGCGTTCAGTAGTCAGGCACCTTGTTTGTGGGATGCCTTGTCCCGGACTGTTAGAGATGCTCTGCCAGTGAAGATTTTTAGGGCTCGTCATTTATTTTATCTTGCGTATCCGTCTGTGTAGGGGTGTTTGCCTCTTAGTTGTAATGTTAATGGTTTTTACTAAGAATCTGTTGTAAAGGGCTGTGAGGCCTTGTGTGAAGGTCACTATAATAAACTGAGTTTTAATTACTAACTACCAAGCCACCCAGCCATTGAGCTAGTCAGCCGGTTACCTGGTCACCAGCCTAACCAACCAGCCATCATCGACCTCGTCAGTCACCTATTCAGCTTGTCACTTGCCTCACCACCCGGCCACTCAGCAAGTCACCCAAGCACCTAGTGAGCTAGTCATCTGCCTAACCATCCAGTCACTGAGCCATTTATATTCTGTAGTCAGCGAGTCATTGTCAACTTATCGCCTTCCAAACCACCCATCCACTGAGCCACCTAGCCACACATCTCGTCACCCAGCGAAAAGTATGTATTGTACTGTATTGACAATAAATTAATCAATGCTTTATTGACATTTTACAAAAAAAACGGATTGCCTATCATGAACACATAAACGTCGCATGTTGGTGTTAAGTATAGTCATGGCAAAGTCTTAAACCACCAGTGAGGAGTTTTATATTGGTCAGAATGTGATCAATAGATTGGCCACGTGTAATTAATAATACCTGTAAAAACTTGACACTTGTAGGGGGATGTTAATTTAGGGTTAATAACAATCATTTTGGCATAAAACTACCGCGTGGCCGAACCACAAGAAAACAAATGTGGATCAACGGTGTATTTGGCGAGGAAACCCCACGTTTAAAGTTAACACGTAAACAATTAGTATGCTTTAGGTTTACAGCTTCATGCGCCTTTATACACAGTAATTGAATTCACGTGCTCACAATGGGGCACGGTTTCCCTCAGTCCCTTCGCTTCCTTGGGAATCCCCGTCTGGCTCTGCACTGAAACAATCAATTGAGTTGCGTTGCGCCATATTGCAACGGGACAGGGTTGTTATCCGAGACTAAATCAATTATTCCGTGATACAGCGTTGACTGTGCAAATAGCACAAAACCCCAACGCATTCCTCAACAACAACACTGCCTTAAATTGAAAAATCTATTAAATATCATCATCATCATCACGAACCATGGGCAGATAGCCTGTATGTGCCCACTGCACATGTCGTCATTTGTTTCCACTTTGCTCTCGGTCTTGTGCAATATGCTCAAGTCGTGCCACATCTTTCTGGCACCGATCTCTTATGTCGACGTCAAACTATTATCGATTAGGTCTTCCTTTATTTACGGCCTACTTCCATGTTTCCGTACAAAACCCTTTTAATTGTCCTGTTGTCTATCCAGCACGTGTCCAATTGGTGCCAGTTTCATTCTCGTCACTGCCTGGGCATCAGGTCTTCAATGTGCAACCTTTTTCTCACTTCTACGTTGGCCACTCTAAAAAAATGAAGTTTCCTTCTGTAGCAATACATTTCGAATGCCAATATATTTTCTGTCGGTCTCAAATATACATTAATATTGACATATAAACAGGGTGTCTATCAAGTCCCTATTTATGTTTCTTTACAGGGCCCTAAAGATTATGGATGTACAAGAACGTGTGATGGTAATAACACTTTCAATGAGATGGGGCGCCTTGACATTCAACAAACATCCTTCGGGAGTAGCTCAATTAACGTTTTCCAAATCGCTGGATTATTTTTTTGTTTGTTGCGGTTGCACCCGATTCAAGAGCCGAATGGCTCACAGGGCTATACCAAATAAATGAAAACTGAAACTGAGCCTTGGGCAGATCCATCTCCGAATTTAACGCCTTTGCACGGGGCAAAGGCGGTAAATTCAAGTCGGAGGTGTATCAAACGCCAGTTAGAGATCTGCAAGATTTACGAGGTCGTGTATATAGGGGTGGGGGTTGCAGTTACAAAAATTTACTCCACACAGACGCTGCAACAACGTGTTCCTCAATGCAGCTGTGCGGAGATATTGACAACGTGCTCGCGTAGAATCCAACGCTTGACAGCTAACACATTCCTGCGGAGGGAGCTGGTAGTAACGTTGGGTTGCTCGGTCAATGGCCAGGGTCAACGGCGGCGTGGTGTATTCCGCAAATATGGCCGACTGTGAGGGCGGGCACAAGCCGGCGTGAGTAGGTTAAACGATGAGTTTTATAAGGGCACCATGGGGTGACCAGCCCCTCCCCACCCAGCCCCACCCTTCCCCCCACCCTCCCCTCCCCACCCAGCCCCACCCTCCCCACCCAGCTCCTCCCCACCCTCCCCTCCCCACCCATCCACACCCTCCCCACCCAGCCCCTCCCCACCCATCCACACCCTCCCCACCCATCCGCACCCTCCCCACCCACACCCTCCCCACCCCACCCTTCCCACCCAGCCCCTCCCCACCCTCCCCTCCCCACTCAGAAACCTCCCTCCCCACCCAGCCCCTCCCCACCCTCCCCTCTTCACCCAGCCCCTCCCTCCCCACCCAGCCCCTCCCCACCCTCCCCTTTCCACCCAGCCCCACCCCTCCCATTTTTGGTTGCACGACGGACGGACACAATAATCCCTTGTGGGCTGGTGGAACCAGGAGCTTCCTACCAGTATAAAGCAGTTGACACTATGCACGTTCATTCACCACTTTTACTTCTCCCCCCCACCCACCCCTTATCAAGATGGCGGCGGAGGCTTCAAATTGCCCCACGTGACCGCGCCCTCCACTACCCCCACCCACCCCTTATCAAGATGGCGGCGGAGGCTTCAAATTGCCCCACGTGACCGCACCCTCCACTCCCTCCACCCACCCCTTATCAAGATGGCGGCGGAGGCTTCAAATTGCCCCACGTGACCGCCCCCCACCCCCTATCAAGATGGCGGCGGAAGCTTCAAATTGCCCCACGTGACCGCACCCTCCACTCCCTCCACCCACCCCTTATCAAGATGGCGGCGGAGGCTTCAAATTGCCCCACGTGACCGCCCCCCACCCCCTATCAAGATGGCGGCGGAAGCTTCAAATTGCCCCACGTGACCGCCCCCCCACCCCATATCAAGATGGCGGCGGAAGCTTCAAATTGCCCCACGTGACCGCCCCCCCACCCCATATCAAGATGGCGGCGGAAGCTTCAAATTGCCCCACGTGACCGCGCCCTCCGCCCCCCCCCTCAGCCCCGAGGCCTCTTGCCGCCACCTCCTGAGCACAGCAGCAGCAGCCGAGGCCGCGTTATATTTTAGTCGTTACATCTGCAAAGCGATTGTTTCTTTTAATTCCGTCTTCATTTTCCTCTCTCAGACGCGACGGCGCGTTGATGTGAGTCGCTGTGACGACGACGGTGACGGCGGCGTTCGTTGTCGATGGTCGTGCGAGTCGCGAGGGCCTCATTGTACAGGCCTCGTTGTCTTCGCGTTTAACGTTTCGTTCGCTTGTTCACTAACCCAGTGAGTTCACCCTCTCTACTGTTGTTTCACACGGACAATAAAGCGTTCACGGGTGACACAGGAGGGCCTGCTGCTACTGCCCCGTGGCGTGCAGATTTCCACCGCTAATTAAGCTGAAGTAGCCGTCAGCGCGCGTTCTAACACCCCGTTCGCCTGCGTGGAAATCGTTCAATTTTAACATAATTTGTTTTGCAAGAAGTACTACCCGGTAAGATTCTTACCGAATAAAGTTGTACATTACGTAAAGAGCGATGCACTGAGGGGGTAGACATTAATACCCGGCAAAGGCAAAAGCGTGCAAATGTTACAGATGATGAGGTAAGCGACACTTGAGTAATTGTTTGGGTGCCCCTGAGTGGAATTGTTCTTATTCCTAAAGCAGTTCAACTTCATCAAAACATAGCTTTGTGTGCCGTATTATCCGGATTATAAGACGCTTCCACCCCCCCCCCCCCCCCTCAGTATATTAAAATGAATATATTGATTGAGTTGCCTCTTATAAGCCGGTGTTTTCGTTTAACCAAATTTCAATAACTTAAATTTGAATAACTTTCATTGCATTACTTTCCCAGAGTGTCTTGTCAACCCTTCCCCCCCCCCGAGTTTAAGGGCTTGCGGTAGTCCACGTTTCGCGATTGTGTCGCCGTGGTGATGGCTTTTAACGCAGTGGAGTGGCTTTAATTGCGCGTTATTCTTTACAACAGCGACCGGGGAGCCTACAAAAAGTGCCGCCACTCAACGTGACGCACGCGTGAAGACCAAACGAATACCATTCACTACGCCACTTTGTTGTGGGGGAAAAGCAACGGTGATTATTCGAAGGCGAACTTGTGCCCGCCATGCTAAAGTGGAATTTCCACCGCTGGTTTAGGGGCACTTTAGCTCGCAACTGAACGCCGCTCCATTGCCCCTTTGAAGCGCGTCAATTTTATACCGAAAAGTTGAATGGGGAATTGAAAGTTTCGCAATCGCGATGCTACCACCACCGCCTGCAAGTATTCTCTCATCATAAGTCTTCCACCCATCGCCATGGGTAGACGCGTGCATGCGCTCGTTCGCATGTGTGTGCGTGTGTGACCCCTGCATGGCCCTGCCCCTCTCGCCCTCCTTCCCCCAGGCTCGCTGGACCCCAGGTTGGAGGTGAGATAGAGTGCGTGACGCAGACCGCGCCATGGAGGTGACGAGGAAGAGTAAGTGTGGCTTCTTCTGGCATCTCCCCCCCCCCCACCCCCATTGATGGTCACACGAGGACTCGGAACACGCAGCGAACCAGAGTTTAAGGATGCACATATAGGATGCATTAACACAAGTCAGTCCCTCCAGAAAAACGCGGAGTTTTTTGGTGATTGTTGCGGGCAAAAATTGTTGATTATGCGGCACGTTTTCTTAAAAAATGCGATGGAATATGCGGGATATTTATGCAATTTTATGCGATTAAATTGCGGGAACTTGCAAAAACTGCGGTTTGATGAAAAAGAGAAAAAAAAGTGATTCCCACAACACCCTATTTACTCGGCTACTACTTTAATGTAAAGCGTCATTTCTTATTACTTCCTATGATAAGCAAGCATACTACATCACAGAAAGTGCTGGGAATATTTAAGTTCTCATCTTGTTTTATTTCAGACCTTAACAAACAGATGGCTCAAACTTACAAAACATTGAGTCGAACAAGTTCTGTAGCTTTACAAAATGAATATGCTACAACTTCTGTAAAAATGAATAAATAAAATATAAAAAATAAAATGTGTGCTTCCTGTTTTACAGAGGTAGCTATACAAAACAGACATCTTCTGTTAAAATAAGTGTTTTCAGTGCACAGTAACGTAAGCAATACAGTAACAGTACAGTCTTACAGTAATGTAAATTTACATACTACTAACAAAAAAGTGCAACTTTACAACTGTAAAGTTGCATAAACTCCTGAATAAAACTAACTACGTAGCCTCTAACACTTCATAACGTTCCCATGGCAACAGGGGAAATGCCTGTTTGTGTGAAGTAAACGCAACATTTTTCAACTTTCTGCTAAGATATGTGACTTTTTGCAACGAAAATGCGGGGATTATGAAATCATGCAAGCCCGCATATTTTGCGCGCGGAAATCTGCAATTTATGCGGCGAAAGTGCGGCGTATTTGAAAAAACGCGCCCCCCGCATAAATATGCGGACTTTGGCTGATTTTGCATGGAATCTTGCGATCGCATAATCGCGTTTTTCTGGAGGGACTGACAAGTGGATTTAGGGGCTCCATAGCAGCAGACTGGATGGCAGGCTGTACACTTTGCCGAGAAATGCATTTTTGTAGGTGGTGGGTCTTGTAATTTTTTTCTGTTATCCAAATTTTGCTATTGGCATTGTAGTGGATCCAAACAACTAACTCTGAGATCTCTTCAAGTCACAGTTCACACAGTACAGTACCACATTTTCCCACCTCTGCCATGAGGCCAGCGTTCATCATAAAACAGTCACACTTATATTTTACAGGCGGCTGCTTGAATTCGAACCCAGATTCTTGGCAGTGTCGGCTCAATGCTTCTGTCCTCTGAGCAACCCAGCAACCTCTCAGTAATCTTTTAGGGCTAGTTGAAATGTGTTTCTTACCCAAGTTTTTGAGCTAACGGTGGTCATTTAACCACAGTAGTGTCTTGCACTAGCAAGCACCTTGGCGCGCGCAGAGATTGTGGTGCATGTGTCCCTGCGTCGGCCGCCACTCGTTTCGCCCCATCATCTCTGTGCTGCTGTCATTCCCAGACTTCAGGGCGACGCTGAGTGTTGTGTGCGAGGCCATCAACGAGGCCGACTTTTTGGCACTTGATGGAGAATTCACAGGTAACAAAATCACCCAAAAGACAACACAAAGGTTCAGCACCAGTTTCCAATTATCCACATTTCTACTGACACAGTTGTGTTACTCGTTTTTGTGCTTCTTGTTTGCGTATGTGTTCTATGTTGTGTGCGGTATTTGACTATGTAGTGGTGGTACATGCTGTGTGGCTGAAGATGTACTATTTTACGTGTATGGTTTGTGGCTGTGTGTGATATTTGGCTCTTTGTAAATAGTGTCCTCAATTACATGGGCGGATATACCGTGTCCCACATTTAAATCACACTCTCCGGGCTAACTTTTTAACACCCTAAAAAGCAACACTGATTTACTGTAAGCTGCGTCTTCCTTCTGAATCGAATCGTACCATCAGTCTCTGTTTAGTATTGTGCTGTGTAAGAATTACTCTAGCATTGGGTTGTGCGTTCTAGGATTGTTGTCAGTGGTATTTTTTTTACATGTTTTATTTTGAAAATTTTCCAAAATAAATAAATATGATCTGTATGAATAGAATTACAAGCTGGTAAATAGGATAAATATGGTGTTCATGGGTTTTGTTAAGAATATCGACGTACCTCTGCCCCCACTCATAAATTAGCCTGGTATTTCAAGGACACGCTGAATGTGTGGTGTTGGAATGTGAGCCTATAAAATGTTTGGATATATAAATAGTATTTTACCGTCTGTGTTTGTGTGTGTAGCGGTTGTCTGTGTATGTGGGTAGTGATTGCATAGTTAATTGCGCACTGTTACGAAGCCAGCGGCCCGTGTTTCGCTTCACAGCCACAACATCAATGAAAGTGATATCTGAAGTTGTCCGAAATCTCCCCTCGGTCCACTTATCCTTTAATGAGCATGGTGCAATATGTTAAGATGAGCACTGGGAGCTAAAGGCCGCCTGGCACGGTGTTGGGCACACCATTTTCTCCAGCATCATGCTGGCATTTGGAGGTGTTTACTAATAATAGTTACCCCCAACAGTCGGTTAAAGGCTATATGAAGGATCTTGACTTAAAGCTTTCGTGACTGCAGGAATTCATATTATTTGGGTCTTTCGGTAAAGCCACGTAGATATAAAAAATAACATCCTGCCTCAGCAGCTCTCTCGCTATGGTTTCACCTGATGACGATTGCTTGCGTTGCGATCGAAACATCGTGATATTTTTTAATTTTTCTATCTTCGTGGCTTTACCGAAAGACCCAAAAAATATATGAAGAATCTTTGCTTTGGTGGCATTGATGGTATTTGACCTGTTGTGTGTGGTGTCTTGTGTTCTCGGCCAGGCATCAGTGACGGACCATCTATTGGAACTTTGAGCAACGGACTGGACACCCCATCCGACCGCTTCAACAAACTGCGCAAAGTAAGCACCAGATAATTGACTTTACTTGTGATTAACCTGACTGGCTCGTGTTTGGAGCTACTGGTGTAAATTTTACTGTCCTATGGCAGGACCAATATATCGATAGTAACCCCTGTCGAATTGTTATAAAATAGTAAGAGACTGTATGAGGGAGATTTATACATTTAAATTATTATTATTTGAACCCTTAACCTTTAGCTTGCGAGTCAAATTCTCTGTCATTTGTAAAGTGCTTGTTCCCAATGTTTTAAATAGACTTTATTTGGAATAATATTAAGTATGGGGTTACACCTGGAAGTTTTTTAGTAATGTTAGCTGATATCTTTCACCAGGCTATTGGAAGGCTGTAATGATATAATTGCTCACTGTTTGTCATCTGCAGCATTCCTTGGACTTTTTGCTGTTCCAGTTTGGTCTCTGCGCCTTCCGATACGACAGCACTTTAGAAAAGTGGGTAAATTGATTTCACAGGGCACCAGCACTGTGGACTGCACAGCCAGGAGAGCACCTCCCAATAAAGTAGAACCACATTGAGGGCTGTAATTTGTGGCTCTATATTTATCATGTGTGTATTGTGTGTCTTATGTCTTCAAGGTACATCATCAAGGCCTTCAACTTTTATGTGTTCCCACGACCACTGTTCAGGAATTCACCCGATGTCAAGTTTGTGTGTCAGGTGAGTAAGAGAGTACTGATCTCTGACATATGGTCCTTAGTATGGGTGAGAATTTGTATGCGAATCTATGTTAATCTAAACCCCATTGGAGCAGTTGTGGAAAGTGTGGAGGAGTTCCCATACTTGGAAAGTGTGCTCATAACCAGCTCTACTTTGGCAGTGCCCATTGCGGCTGCTTAACGCTGTACGGAAGCAGCCTGAGGAAACTCCCTCTCGCTCCATATGATACTTCCTCTCTCCTCTATGCAATTATGCCTGCTATTTTACAGGAACATTTATGCCAGCTTGAAACATACCGGTTTTAATTGTGTGAGAAGCAGATCCTTGAAAGATCTTGACACTCCCGAAATATGTGTGCGAGTTGATGGTTTGATTCACAATCTTCTACTGCTACAGTGACTACTCGCTCATGTTTGACTGTGCTGCTGGTGGTTGTGGTTATGGTAACAGTTTTGGGATCGGTTATGGTTTTATTTTCAGAGCTCGAGTATTGATTTCCTTGCGGCACAGGGCTTCGATTTCAACAAAGTCTTCCAGGAAGGTGCGTGCACGCACATACAAAGACAAAGATCCCCTATGAAGGCTGGTATGATACACGAGGGGGTGGGTGGTCAGCACCACGCCCAGCCGCCATTGTCACCAGAGTGGCGATGTTAGCACATCACACCAGTCACGAAAACTTCAAATCTAAATCACACCAGGTATTCATTTAAGGCTGAATAATATCGGATAATCGTGACTGGTGTTGGCCATGAGTGCGAGTCAAAATCAGGTTGCTGGATTCAGTGTAACACCCTAACTGCTACACTAGCATTCCCACACACATGCACCTCCGATTGGCACGGTTGGCTACATACAGTGCGAAAGAAGTTCAACTTACATATATACATCAACAGGTATAGACGTACACACGTGAACGTATACTTAAATGCACACACAAGGACATTCGTAACATACGGTAAAAACATATAGGGTGTGATGAAAGACAGGATCCATAGCGATTTCAAAACCACACTTTATATTTTATATTGAAAATATGATCCAGATGTGCGAAGATCAATGTGGACATTTGGATGTCTGTGAATAGATTGAGAAGTGTGACCAAGAAAATGGTGTACGGTTTGAGAATCTGATCAAATCTATTTCACAGGTGTATGATTCTTGAGCTTTGCCACACCCTGTATATGCATCCAGACATATGCAAATATACAGAAGCATATACACACACCAATACATATGCCTACACACGTACACACACACATACAAAGATGCCCCTATAGCCATATAGACTTTTGGGGCAAGTGCTGATAATGAACACTTATTGAGGCTGGAAAGGAGTACAAAGGGGTGTTGCGACCAGTAAAACACCCAACTGCCTTCGTCCCCCCCCCCCTCCCAGTGCTTTTGTGTTTAGACACTGCACCAGGTACTCATTTAAGGTTGGGCTGAGTTGACTGGGGGAGACCGAGAACAGGGAATTTAACCCAGGTCCCCAGGTTTTATAGTGCAGTGCGTCATCCACTATGCCAACCATTTTCCATACTAAGATACATATCTGTACACGCATGCCTGCCCTTGCATGTGTCCACTCCCACACATGAAAGCAGGTGGAGTCGGTTGTGACGGACGTGTGCGCGTGCCCCAGGCATCCCATACCTGTCGCAGGAGGGAGAGAAGAAGGTGCGCGAGATTGTGGAGGAGCGCACGAGGCAGAGCGGCGCGGGCATCACAGGAGTCACCCCCTTTACATCCCCCGCCTCCAGCAAGGGCCTCACCGTGGTGCCCGACGACCAGAAGGAGTACATCGCCGACGTGGTGTGAGTAACTCGCCAATGTGGATGAGCTCACGTCTGCGAGTATCGCCAATGTGGCTCCAGTGCTGAATTGACAGCATGCGTGAGAACTTTTTACTGTTCTTCCATGACAGTAACATACTCGCAGGAAATAATTTTATTTTTTATTTTTGAAATTGTGAATTTGTTGTCATTTGATGGGACATTTTATATGTTGAATAATTTTTTTGGGGTGGATGAAGTCAGGCTGGTGAATTGGTATATGCCTCGTTTATTGAGCGGAGTGTATCAGTGCGAGCCAATGCATATTTCCTGCATACATGTGGCTTGTTTTAAGTAAGGTTGTTAAAATGTAGCTTTTTTCTATTGCCGCTCACCGCATAAAACATAGTAAATAAAGAAAGGTTTCTGGTTTTCCACACGTATAGAAAAGCAATCCATTACAATAAATGTAACATTTTAGAATATTCACTGGAAAGAATGGGATGGCAGCCACGGTATAATGGTTAGCACACTGGACTCAATCGAAAGGCCACAGGTTCGATCCCATCTCCCGGTGTCATTTTACTCAATGGGGCAAGATTATTAAATCACCCACTGCTTCAGTCCACCCAGCAGTATGAATGGGTACACCATTTAGTGGATTGGCAGCTTACGTGTGGTGGTGTGCGTACATCAACATCTTTGAACACGTCTGGTCAATGTTGAAGAGTCGACCCAATGCCCCTCTAGATTTATTTCTTGTGGAGGCCCTTTGGCCAGCAGTGCCATGATTGATAATGCTATTTTAGGCTCCTCCTTTACCTTGTTATTGGTAAACAAAGGCAAATCTCTCAGTTTCTGACTTTCTGAATTGTTTATTGATTTTAGAACTTGTTTAACAACCCTCGTTTTAAGCACATCATGACCACATGGGCACGTGCATAGACATGAACAATAGTGTGTGGGTAAGTACACTCATAACACTGACTAAATTGTTACCTGTGTCATCGTTGTTGTGCTGCATTGCAGGTGTAAAGTGGAGAACCTGCTGAATGACCCCAAACAGACGACCCTCGACCTCCCACCCTGCAACGCGTGAGTGCACACGATTGCATACCTGCTTCGTCACACGCTTGTGTCGGTGACTCATCACGTACACACGTCGGAGCATAGACACACCAGACCATGTGTACACACCAAACCTTGAGTGCAGCTTCAAATTAAAGCAAGAAGAATCGTGGATGTTTCTGTAATGCTTTGTATCGTGGGTTTTTACGCCTGAAAGTATTGGTGGTAACTTTGCGTTTAAAGCCGCACGACGAGATGTCATGTGGAGTATGACGCCTTGAGGTTGGATTGATGCAAGGATAACGGCGAATCCTTTTAACGCTGGTTATTTGTTCCAAGTTGGAGACTCTTAGAGTAATTCACCCCCCCCCCATAGCAATAAAATTTTGTGCAAAGGTTTTTGTCCATTTTGGATCTTGACAAGAGTTATCGTGTCCCCTCCAATCTAGACAGACATAGAATGACTCTTGACTTAAAGCTTTCGTGACTGCAAGAATTCATATCCTTTGGGTCTTTCGGTAAAGTCACGTAGATAGGTAAAGTTTTTTGTTATTTTCTTTGAACCTATTTATGTGACTTTACCGGAAAGACCCAACAAATAGACATATAATGCTTTAACACGTTTAACCTGTTTAGGAAAGCATGAATTAAGGAAAATGTATACACACTGACAAAGAAAGTGGAATGCATGGGTTATAGAAAATTGTACATAAGGAAAGTAAGTGGCTTTGTAGAACATCACTAGAAGGGATGATGGCCGGTGGTCAAGATTTAATGATGGGGTAGCAACCAAAGGATGTAACACACCCAAAAGGTTATTCATCAAGTAGATTAAGCTGTGAGATATCAGCTCATATGCAGGAGCTAGATGGATTGTATTACTTGAATGTGAGGAATGGAACTTCCATCTTGTGGCCACACACCCATTTGTCACTCCCTTGATGTGTTAAAATTAGTATTTAAAGTTTGTTTTCTTTTACTCTGGCTGGTGCCCTCCTCCATTACAGGTTTCAGCGGAAGCTCATATATCAGACAATGAATTCCAAGTGAGTATCACGTGAATTGTGATTGTTTAGCATAGATTAGTCATTTGCTCCACTGCTTGTATAATGTCCTATTTTTTCGGTGGCGAAAATCCCCAATTTATCAAAGTGGATTTTTGGAGTAATATCCCAGTTTGCCGTGGGTTTTACAGGGTCCTCAGTAACCCCCTTTTACATCACCACTAATTAAATACTCTATGAAGGTCGTCTTAATTCCAAATTTTATCTCCATTATGCTATTGTCATCATTAGATAAATAATCCATTCAGACCTCTGGCAGGGCATTATGACCCTTCGTGTTAGAGAATGGCCCGCATAGTTACCTCTGAGATCCCTTCATTTGACCTCTATTCTGCACACTTTGCTATATGAGAGGGGTATTTGTTGCATGATAGTGAAATTGATATTTTAAATTCTCAGAGCTGAAATCAGGTGCTGAATCACATTTAAAGTGATGCATTGTTTGTGCAGTCATTGTTGAGTGTAGACCATCTACTCACTACACTTGAGAATGCAGTTTAAAAACCTGCGGCTGCCTGGAGGCAAACTTTGATCTCAGTGGTGTCACCTCAGCACTCTCACTTGAGCTACCCAGCCACAATAACTAAAGTGGTTAAATGCTATGAGTATCCATTTATAACAATTAACGTGTCTTTATAATCAACTTATTACACTGTCCAACTTGTCACGTGTTCTCTAAAACAGGAATTATGCATAACCTGGCAGCTGATAAGGATACAGGTCGGTGACTCTTAAGCTACGACCATTGACTCTTGACCTCCTTGTGCCAACTTCTCCTGCCCCCCCATTCCCTTAATCTTCTCCTAGGTTCTCGACGGGTCTGCACTTTGAGACCCTGCAAAATGAAAAGGTAAACTTGCAATGGCAGCGGCAAGACTGTTACATTTTCTTCATGGTGCCCTTAATGGTTCGTGAAGAAGTGGTAGAATGTGGGCATGCGTTACCATCACTACTCTTCCCTGACCCCATCCCTGGTGTCTGCATGCTTGGCAGAGGGACCGGTACATCGTCGTGACGAAGGTATCGGAGGAGGAGAGACGGAAGAAGGAGGAGGATAAGCACTCAAAAGGGCTGGTAATGTCACCGTGACCCACACTACATCGCAACACCTCCACAGTCGTATCCCTTGGGGTAATTTCCTGGGTTTGACCTTACCCGAGCGAGCCTGGATCCATAACCAGGTCAATGTGAAGCCATTAATCGATAACTGCATCTCCCTGACCTCATGGATCTTTGATGGATCTCTTGATAATAAACAAGATTTAGGAAAATAATTATAATTTGATCAACATTGTAGAGGCCAAAATAACAATATAGAAAAAGTGTGCAAAACCTTGTTTTAAAAACCTATGATGCAATCACTCACAATCTTCAACTATTCTGATCCCACTAGTATTACAATCCAAACTTAGAAAATTTAGCACTCAAAGGATATCATCATGATTAAAAATAAAACAGCCGAACAATGAGAGCGTTGTAATGATTAATCAATTAAATGCTTACGTTTTCGATAGATGCATTGAGTGATGCTGTACAAATATAATGCATGTATGTTAACAGTACAGCAGATTATTTACTTAACATTACATTCGAATCGTAAAAAATAAGAATTTTTGGGGTGAAAAATGTTCATCCCCTACAAACTGCTATCCATACATTGCCACACCTCTTGTTTCTCCTTTGTAAATGTGGCAATTAAATCTCCCTTCTGGTCAAATGAAGGACAGGTTTTTAAATCATTTATATTAAGTTCACTTGCTTGCTTGCTTACGACCGTGCAAATCTTTCGGTCGTTTTTTAACCCACTTCCCGTGATCCAATCGAGCTGACATTTTGCACACAGACTCGTTGTGCGTGACAATGTATTTTCGTGAAAAAAAATTCCTAAATTTTACACTTTTTAGGAAAAAATAAATTATATTTAATTACCAATTGCTTCATGGTGGCAGCCATTCATCTGACCCATAGGTGGCAGCCATCTCAAGCCAGAGGACGAGAGGACTCTAGCTGCCACGCATATAAAGGATTTATAGTGAAAAACTTTGTTTTTACGGGTTAATTTTTTTATTTAAATGCGTCCTTGTTATTGATAATGAAAAGCGATAGTAGTTTCAGATGCGTAATCTCGCAGGCCGTTTTATACTTGCGTACAATCCTTGGTGGCTGCAAAGGTCTTGACGATTGCACGTGCGTGTGCTCTCCTTTGTTTGTTGATCCCTCGCCTACTCTTCAGGAGGAGCTGCAAGACGCTGTAGGGTTCACCAAAGTCATCCAGGCCATCTCCAAGTCGGTGAGATTCTATGCTGTGGCCTCTTGCCTGCACTGACTGATGATGGCATAGGGACGGTTTGTGTTTGAATAAAAACGAAAATACGTTTTAGATATAAATTACTCATTTGGGATTATATGGAGCAGTCGTTGCCTTCAATTACAAAAGCTTGGCAGGAACGTCCTGAAATTGATCCATCAGACTTGGAGAGGTATCCTGGGTAAACAAGTGTAGTGCAGGCTCGGAATGGTGCAGCAGTTATTGCGCTACGCTGTTAAAAACCCCTTCAATACAAGTTCGATGCCTAGGCATGAATGCCATCCATGTGTGTAATGACTATACGAGTCCTCGGTCTTGCAGGGCTGGCTTCACAATCGTGTTTAAATTAGAGATGTTTTCCTCTTTTTTTTTTCACAATTTTTTTGGTCTCATGTTATTTATTCTTTGTTGTCTAGATTGCCCAGTTTTGTTGTTTGCACAATGAGTGTAAATGTAACATTAACATTTTAAGGAGAATAAGCAGTTGAGCTTTGGCTCAGTGTTTTGTGTGTTGCAATACAATCGTAATTTCCTGGGTTCGATTCCTGGCCATGACCAACAATAGTAGGGAGTCGAAATGACTGAGTAATTGTATGTTGTTAAGTACGTGAACGGGGTAAAGCGAGTTTATGACCATGTCACCTCACCTTTTATACTGATGTTAATAGATGATCACTCATGGCAAAGGCCCTAATGATCATGTTAAAATGGTATACATTGTCTTATATCTTTGCAGGGTAAACTCCTTGTAGGCCATAATATGCTGCTGGATGTCATGCACACCGTGCATCAGTTCTACTCTCCGCTTCCTGAGGTAATTCTTGGTAAAGGGCAGGGCTACAAGATTTTTTTTAGGTAAATGGCACAGGAGCCTTTGGGCATTAAAGCACAAAAGCGCTATCTCCATTTGCCAGTGTAGCCCACAAAAGAGCGTGCATTTAAAAAAAGATGTTTTTATGAATGACGTTTCACAGTAGTGTCAAAAATGGGTGATTTTTGTGCACAAAATTGCACAGTCTGGCAGCCCCTGTTATAGACAATAGGACTAGTCCCAGGAGCAGTTACTGTTGTGTAAAAACAATTCAAGTCAGGTGACTGTCCACTCAAACGAGTGTGGATTGGGTGGTCATCTCTGTCACAGGTCCTGAGCTAGTGTTACAAATTCCATATGCTGCCCTCGAGTGAGAACCCACAGAACAACCGCTGCACTTCCCGTTAAGTGCTTCTTAGTTTAACGATCTCGGGGATGATGAGTTGAGTTGCATCCCTACATAGATTGTTTTATTGTGCAATCTAGCACTTTGCTTTAGTGCAACCTGGCTGGATGAGAATTGTTATTGAGATGATATTTAACAATATCTTAAAACACATAAGTTATAAATAATAATATGCACTTATCTTTTGGGTCTTGCATGTTTTTGAGGCCTCAGGTCTTCACAGTGGGTTCAGTAAAAATGCGTTGTATTCATTAGTTTATTGACATAGAATCAAAGTGATTCTTACAGTCGTAATATGTGCATTGGATCATACATGGGTGAGTTTCATAATTTCTGACCCACATTTCATATACTTAAAGTATAATCATGAAATGGATTCTTGGGCATGATATTTCACCCAAATAGGGGCTGTAATTCAGGTGTAAATGATTTGGCCACCTTCCTGGATGGTGGAAAAATGGTCGTAAAATACCACAGTGTCGGATGTTTTCGGACGACTTGACATTTTCATCTTTGCTGGGATGGTGATGGTGCAGTCAGTTTAGGGTGTCTAAAACCGTCTACTTAGTCCATATATAAGACATTTTTTACTAAAACAATAGGTAATTACTTTTAATATGATACCCTACATTTTTATCAATATGACTTCTAATTTGGCCTGTGAGATTGCCTAATTTATGGAGCGTGTAGGAAATAAATTAATGTTTCTTACCACCATAGATTCCACATGTACAGCAGTTGTAAAAATACAATTTACTCATAAATCAAATCGTGATCATGAATCGTGACATTTAATTGAATTGTGCATGGGGTGAACCGTTACATATCAAAGCATAAAGTTACAACAAAACAAACTAAATGCAAATGGTTAAAATTAAGGCAATGAATTGTGACTTGTAATAGAAGCAGCACACGTTCTAAGCCGGTCTAATCGGCGGCCTGGTTTAACATGTGTTGGGCTCCTGTGGGGAGTCATTTTTGGCTGCCCGCTGAGGAATTGCATTTTTTCTCCTTGTGCAGAGTTTGGACGAGTTTAAGGAGCTGACAAACTGTGTGTTTCCCAGGTACGCAAAGGGACGATACACTACAAAGCCATTCACAAATTGTAGGCAATGGTCTCAATATTGATTTTAAGCTTTCGTGACTGCAGGAATCCATACTCTTTGGTTCTTTCGGTAAAGTCACATAGCTAGAAATAAAATAAAATGAAAACAAATCACGACGTTTCGATTGCAACACAAGCAATCATCATCATCATCAGGTGGTTTTCCCATTATTAGAAACATTTTCAAATGTTGACTGAGATTGCCTAATTTGTGGATTAGCAAACAGGCCAGCACTGTGGCCAATGGCAAAACATTTTCTGTTACAAGTGTAGGGGAACCGATAAAGATACCTTTGTTTAACACCGTGTGAGCTGAATTCCATCACAAGCACAGCACATTATTAATGTGGTGAATATGCATTTCCTTTCACTTGCAATCCATGCAGCAAATCATGTGTTTAGAAATACATTTTGAGGGGTATATGTTGTGTTTGATTGCATATTATGAACCCTGCAGCCACCAGTGGTAAAACCAAAAATCGATTCTTGAATCTAAATGTGATATTTCACCTTATGGTTTTTGTATTATGTGCCAGGAACATGGCTCCACATTTTCTACAAGTGAAACTTAGGTAGACATGCCTTATTCCATGGAGAGTAACATTTTAGGAAGTATATGGTTTTTATTTCTTCCCTGCCTGCTCGCCACGATAATTCATTCTTGCCCCAAGACAATAACTGGCGCACCTGCAATGGGTTATCGTTGAATGCTTTTTATGCGTTTTTTTATCCTTCACAGGCTATTGGACACAAAGCTCATGAGCAGCACACATCCTTTCAAGGTAATTTATTCGGCTTGCCTCCCATCATGGGGGTGGAGCAGTGATGCAGGGGTTAGCCCACGGCATCGCACTGTAAACCCAAGTGACCCGTGTTTGATTCCCGGCTAAAGGTAACATCAGTGGCAAGTGATATCTGAACAAATCCTGGCAACCCCTTTGCCCCCTGCCTGCTCGTTCGCCAGTCTGATGATGAATGTGATGAAGTATGATTAAACAACCAACATGACCAATACGGTGTGGGCAACCCTTCATCCACCTGCGATTTATTAAAGTCAATTAAGTGTCTCCCCCTGCTTGGTCGAGCAACTTGGAAATATCATCTGCATTGGCCACCCTGCTTTTGAGTTGAAGAAGATTTCTATTCTGCTCCAGCTGGCACTTATTTTAAAGTGTCTGGTAGCCAAGTATATTGAACCAATGGCATCATGTGTGCAGTTTAGGCAAACCAGAACAGGAAGTGCCTCGGTGCAGCTGCTTCTTTTTTTGGAGCTTTCACACTGATCTCTCCTTAGCGGATGCATTGTTGACGTCCCACAAAGTGACAATCCTGGTATTGCCCTTGTGGAGATTTGATGGACATATACGTATATATAATCAGAATATTTATTTTGGAGGAATCTGATGAGCTATAAAGCTCTTTTTCAAAATGTCACTGAAATAGCTTCAACATGTACCTGCTAAAAGGACAGTATAATTTATCTGTATCTCATTAAAAGCTCAAGCTTTTCTGACCCTATTGGCTAATTAGACTTGACCAGTACGTGGGGGGGATCCAGCCTTGCCCTCATCACTGATTGACTCAGCAATTTCCCTTGGCCAAAGACACATGTTTATAATTCTAGATAACCTTTTTAACTTAAGCCGGAACAGGTGGACAATTGGGATATCTACTGGTTGTCTGGTGAAACTCAAAAAGCTTAGTTTGACAAAAGCTAACGCAAAGTTACATTTCCACAGAAGTTGGGTGGTTTTCACTTGTAGGTGTTAATCAGGCTGATGGCATTTGTATTCGTGTGTTAACCGGCAGGAGGTGATACAGTTCACCACGCTGGCTGATCTTCATCGGCGGCTGAGCGAGACTCCCTTCAAGATGCCGGCAGTCGGTACGCATTTCCCCTCGTCCAAGATTCTTTCACGGTTGGCTCGTTGGCCAAATGTGGCCCGTGGAGTCTCTTGGGAGTGGCCAGCCAAGAGATATTCTTCACCGAGACAAGTATGGATTAGTGAGATGAAAGTAATAAACAAGAGAGAGAAGAGAAAGCTGTAGGCAATAGATAAATATTAGTGAGATGAACAATAGATAGAAATGAAAAACCCACAGAAAAGGGGTACAAGCGAGTGCTTGCATACAGCTGTATGACATCAAGATGATATTGACAACATATGTACCCGTGACACTTAACGTTAAGACATCATGTGACATGAAGTCACGTGGCCCTCCAGAAGCCACTCGTTTATTATGTGGCTTGTCAGAAAATGTAGTTGAAGAATCTTCCCCTCGTCATACATATACCACTTCTCCATTGTCTCCATTTCCCGTGCGTCTCTGCCCTCATTCTCACACTTGATTTCCTCCGTTGCCGAGCTTAAACCTCGTTCACTCTGTCAATTTCACAAATGAGGCAACTTCACAGTCGCAACCAAAAAAATCTGAATAATACACATCGGGTGTATTTTAGGACAGTTTCTCCATTAAGTAATTATCTATCTATTTTTGAAACAAATGGTTTGTGACATGGATACCAATCTAATGCACTATCACCATCTTGGTGTGAATGAAAAAGGCAATTAATCGAAGTACGTCCGACACCATGGTATTTTATGACAGTTTCTCCATTATTGAGAAAGGTTTGACAACTTATTTCTCTCAAAATTTACGTTCGTAACTGGTTATCATACGTACTAAACCCAAGTTTAAAGCCACTGTGATTACACTAAATGATTACCCGCATCTCTTAAATTGTCCGAAAGGTGCGTTTGAGGTCGCCCCCCCCCCCCCACCATGCGTTTCTCTATGTTGCTTCTCTCTCCTGTCCCATGTTTCCCGACTCTCACCACCCCTTCTCTAATATCGTTTTCCATTTTGTAAAGTGTCTTGAGGTTGAGCTGTATTAAGATGCCGTTTAATTTAAAATTGTTGTTGTGGTTGTGGGTCCCCATGTTTCACTGGACGTTCCTGTTCCCCGCTGCCCCTCCCCCCCTCATGTGTGTCCAGAGAGTGCAGAGGGATTCCCTGCGTACAGCACGGCCGTGGAGCAGTTGCACGAGGCCGGGTACGACGCCTACATCACGGGGCTGTGCTTTGCTTCAATGGCCAACTACCTGGGTATTTGCACGTACACACACACACACGCATTTACATACAGTGTCACATGCGCACACAAGCGTACATGGGGTCACATACACATATATACAGGGTACACACACGCACAAACGGTCTACTCACACATGCAAACAGCTGCCATTTTTACCGCTGACTTGAACGAACATTCCAGATATGCTAAGCCTGTGGTAGCGTAGGTGCACTTTAACGTTATGCACAGTGTTGAAGGTTTACATGTACAAGCGTGTCCCCACTGTGTTATGAATACACGTGGTCATATATACAGAACACACAGGCAACTTGTATGCACTTGCAGGGACACTCACACATGCACCAACACTTACGGAGACTTTTTTTTTTACAGTCTCCCTGTTCCAAATTGTTAATTTAGTTTTAAATAGTTGGCCAATCTCACAGCATGCTTTATTCTATTACCAGTAAACAGAGATATGGCGTCATCACTAGTTACATCTGTGTAGGGTTAAATAAAAAAAATAAGAGACTTTGTTTGCAACTATGTTTAGGTGTTTACTCATAACGTAGGTACCCAGACCACTCGGATGCCCACTTGTGTGGTTGTTGTTTGTGTGTCTGTTTGCGTGTGCAGGCTCATTCATGGATCCTCCAAAGAGCCACATTCCTGCACGTTCCCATCTCATCGAGCCATTTGTCAACAAGTGAGGGAGACCCCCACCCCCGCGTATGAATGAATGTGCATGTATGAATGTGTTGTTATAATTTGGAGACTTTGAAAGTGTGTAAGGTTGTACTATACACTTGCCGTATGACTGACATGGGGCAGAAATATGGACAATGACAAAGAAAATGCAACGCAAGCTGAAAAGTGCATAAAGAGGTGTGGAGAGGTGCATGCTTGGAATTACACCGAAAAACACAGCACCACATTTATACGTGAATATATGCAATTTGGAGGCATCATATTGACTTGGGAAAATTTGACTTGTGCAGGACATGCCACTGGAAGGAATGTCCAGTGGTTGACTAAGGATGGTTTGGCAGCCAGAGGAGGGAATGTACCCGAGAGGACATCTCCCGTGGAGTAGGAGCAATGTGCTATAGGGATTGCTCCATCACGTAAGAAGATGAGAGATGGTGACAACTTGGGAGGGCCTTCATCCAGAAGTTAATTGATCATGGCTGATTATTAAGGTTGTATGTGTCAATGTGCGCCAATGAAATAGCATTCAACATCGCAAATGATTTGTTGTGTGCAACCGTAATGGGCACTCGCCACTAACGCTGCTCATCTGCTTTAACCTCTCGCGATTGCCGATGGCTGCAGGTTGTTTCTGATGCGCATCATCGACATCCCGTACCTCAACTTGACCGGGCCTGACTGTGAGTTGGCACACCCCAGCCTTGGCCCCCTTTATTCAGACGTGTAGATTAGTTGGCTCAGTCTGGCTAAATAAAACAGGGTTGGGTCAAATAACTCAAACTTAAAATAATTCCTCATTTGTCCAGAAAACCTTTACTTATATCTCGGTACTCTTTTTATATTGCAGCCTATGACCAGATCACCTGGAATGTGCCCGATCTCATCATATATTGGAAGATGAGCAGAGTTGAGCTTGGATGGTGATCGTGTGGGCAACCACCTTGCATGACAGGTGTTATAGGCTTGCAAGGCTTACGTGGTCGGTAGCGGAGGGCAGTGTGGAAAAATCCCTTGCACCATACATCTTTGCTGCCCGCCTTGACCAACCTTCACTGACAGCCGAGCTGGGGTATGGGCACATAACCCCCACGACCCGCACGGTGTGAGTAGGCCCTCATCTAGCAGTAGATTTACAAAAGGGCTGTCGATGTCCTGAAGTCCAGAAAGGACTAATTTTGACCAGAAGGAACCAGGGACCTTTGGTATTGATGATGGGCTATTTGCTACCTGTAGCTTTTGACCAAGATCAAGAAAAACGACTGATAATGTTGCCCATGTTGATATCAATGAGTGGTGACGCCGCCTGGCAGATGAGGTGTTGCGGTATTGCACCTTATGTAAAAAGTAACCAGATGGTGGGGGGAAAAATCCTAAGGGAGACTTCGGGTCACGAATGCTCTGACTTTTTGGAAACCTGTAAAACTGCGGGGTTGCGTGTAAAATTCAGCGTAACATGAACAACCGATTATGATCAACACTGTTTGACACCCCCCACAGTGAAACCGAACCGGGACCACGTTCTCCACGTCACCTTCCCCAAGGAGTGGAGGACAAGCGACCTCCACCAGCTCTTCAGCGCCTTCGGTAACTCACGCAGGCCCCTGCCTTCTTGTCCTTACGACCCTTGCCCTGATGACCTGTGAACCTTGCCCAGCTGCCTGAACCCCCTCTCACTTTCCTGAGCCCTATCCTGTGTTCCATAAACTATAACCCAAGGCAATCTTACTCTGTGTGTGTGTGCACATTGACCCCAGCTTCCTGTCAACTTTGGACTTTACTGCTGGACCCCTCCATCTTGAGCTTTTACACTCTTAGACACGAATGCTGCCCTTTGACTTCTAAACCCTACACCCTGATCGTTTAACGTTGTACCTTGTACGAAAAGCCGAGTTTTATTTTACGAATGTGAGAGCTGTCATGCCTAAAATATTTTGTAATATTTTATTCATGTACACAGTTTATTTCCACAGTGCTGTTGCTACAACTAGTAAAATGTATTAAAAGTAAAGCTTAATTTATATTAATCCAAGTAAGCTTCACTGAATGCATCCATCAATTAAAATTGTCATTACCCTCACGGTACATGCATGGAATTGTGCGTGTTAGAATTGATTATTTCCAACTACAATATATATGCAAATTTTTCATTTTGCCTAATGGCATGTAAAAAATTTGCAAGCATTATACCAAAACAATGAGAAACAATAGAGACTAGATGATTAAAATGAGACAATTGATTATTGAATCATATCGTGGCCTGAATATTTCAAATAATCTAATTACTGGAGGCTGAATGATTTAAATGCCTATTCTTTTAATGAAACTTGAGTATTCTCATGGGTTTGAGCATACTGTGTGTATGTGTATTAGTTTGTGTATGGATTTGGTGTATGGATTTGGTCCGGCAAACAACCCCCTACCTCCTCGTGGTGCCGGACGGCAACGCTGTGGGTGGGCAGTGCCTTGGGGGAGGGCCAATTTAGATTGACCATTCCCCTCATGGTGTTTGTAACAACCACAGCGGCTAAATGGGGGCTCTGGATGGGTGCGAGGGGCTGGTAACCCCTCCACCTTGAATTAATTACCATAAAACCACGTATAAAATATCTCATTAATAAGCTTGTGCCGGAGACGCTGGGGGGACAGGCGTCTATAACGTCTCCTGGCCAAACCCCATTTGGCGGAGCCAGGAGATTGAATCTTTACCCTCGGGGCTCCTCCAGAAACAACAAAAACCACGGAGGGTGGCCACGTGGAATGTTCGAACGCTCACTGCGGAGGAGAGGCTGCCACTCCTCTGTCGGGAGCTGGACCAGTACCGCCTGGATCTCTGTGGTATTCAGGAGGTCCGGTGGACCGGCTCTGGCTCCTGCCACCATGAGGGGTGGACAGGCCTCTACTCGGGGCAGGAGACTACCAAACAACAGGGAGTGGCTCTTCTTCTGAACACAATAATGAAGGGGGTGTGGGAACATGGCGATGAGGTGTGGGAAGCGGTAAGCCCCCAACTACTTTGGGCTCGCCTTCCCATCAACCGGAGGCGAGGAGTGGTGGTCGTGGTTACTTATGCCCCCACTGAAGACGAACATTCGTGGATTGATGCAGGCAAAGCCGATGAGTCAGATGGCTTCTATGACCTCCTATCACAGGTGCTAGCTAAAGTGGCCCCTCGGGATAGTCATCCTGTTGGGTGACTTAAATGCCTGAGTTGGTCATGATGCTGGCACCTGGTCTGGAGTGATTGGAAGGCATGGGCCAGATCAGCTCAATAACAATGGTAGGAGGCTGCTAGATTTTTGTGCAGCCCATGGGCTTGCAATTATCAACACGCTGTTCTGGCAGAGGCGCATCCACACAACATCATGGATGCATTCCGGGTCCAAGCAAGAACATCTGCTGGACTACGTAGTGACGGAACAGCAGATGCGGGCTCATGTCCTTGACACCAGGACCTACCTTGGAGCTGATCTGCCCACGGACCATCGACTTGTCTTCTGTAGGATGCGCCTGCCATTCTTCCACTCCGGTGGTGGGTGTACACCCAAGACCACATTCAAACCAAAGGTGGCCTGGTCTCAGCCAGCTGATGAAAGTTGCAAGCGAGAATTTAATCATTGCTTGCGGCTGGGGTTGGCATCCTCCCCCACTCCTCCAGATGTCGAGGGGAAATGGGCGAGGTTTAGGACTGTGGCTCATGCAGCTGCAATGGCTGCTTTGGGTACACGGTCCAGACCTCCCCAGAGACCCTGGGTGACAAGAGGAGGTGTTCAATTTGGCTGAGAAAAAGCGACAGGCCCACTCTCATCGTCGACAGCATCCTACGTCAGAGAATGAGGAGGCTTACCGCAGCCTTTGCTCGGAGGTTCGGAGAGCCGTGAGGCGCTGCAAGGATGGGTGGTGGTCATGGGTTGCTGAGGAGATGGAGTCTGCCTCAATGGCCTGCAATCACAAATCACTATTTAACACCAAAAAGTAACCTGCAGCGCCACACCTATTATCATTCGGGGAAAGAACGGTGATCCAATCTCTCTGGGGGAGGGGAAATCCATCGGCATGGAAAACATCGTGGGACAAAGTAGGGATGACCCTGCTGAGGCTGCGGTGTCTCAAATATTGGAAGAAGAATTCACCCCCTGCGAGTGGCTGGCTGAGGTGCCATCTGTTGAGGAAGTACTGAAGGCGATCTAGAGTCTGAGACCAGGAAAGGCACCAGGCAGAGATGATCTCCCAAGCCTCTGGGAAATCTTGAAGACAGGGAGTTAAATGTTTTAATTAATCTTGGATTGTATTTGGAACCGGTTTAGGGTTTGCAGTCTGGTAATGGCATTTTGGGTCATCTGGAGTTTGGAAGTGAAGGATTTTTGGAGGCCATACAGGAGAGAATTGTCATCGCCGGGTTTCGATATAATTAAGGCATGGATGAGGGTCTCGACAGCAGCTCAGAAAAATAAATGTAGGATGCGGGAGACGTTGCGCATATGGAGGTATGAGGTCTCGCACGGTTGGCATGTGGGAAGTGAACGATAAATTCAGGTTCAATGACAACTCCAGGGTTTGCACGTTGATTCCTGTCTGATCCACCAACCCCATCATGCGTCATCGTCACGGCTCCTGGCAAATAAATGTTCGGTCTCATCTTCAACCTGATTTAATGATGACGATGAGAGGAGTGAGTCATAACGGTGCCCCTATTTCCCTCTCTCCCTCCATCCTTGTCCTTGCTGACCATTACCACCTGCAGGTAACATCCAGGTGTCGTGGATCGACGACACGTCCGCATTCGTGGCTCTGAGCAAGACTGAGCAGGTGCAGATCGGTGAGTTCACCTGCCTAGAAACATGCGTAGACTCGCACACCTGCACTTGCGCACGTATGCATGTACGCATGTGCTTTAACGCTTCCAGTGTGATGCTGTCATGTGAGGTGTGCAGTGTGATGTGTAGTGTGTGCTGTCTTCTGACGGGTTCTGTGATGTGTACTAAATGTATATTTGTCATGTTGTGTGTTGTTTGTGCTGTCGTGTTCTCAATGTGTTGTCATCCCCGTACTGCTGTTGTCCATATTGCTGTGTACCTTTTCGTGTTGTCTACTGTGCCGTGTTGCGCACTGTGTGCCATATTCTGTGACGTGTACTGTGTGTGCCGTCGGCTATAATGCACGTGCTGCCTGTCTACTGCGTGCTTTGCCCCAGCCAAGAACACGAGCAGTGAGGCCGAGTCGTACCGCATCCAGACGTACTCCGAATACCTGCAACAGGGCCAGGACGGCCTCTTGGAGTCGGCGGGAGGCTTTGGGCCCCGCACGCCAAAGCGGAGGATGGGGTTGTCTGGTACCAGCGAAGAGGAGGCAGTTTGCAAGCGAGCCAAGCCCACGTGAGTCTCCGCAACCGCCCGTGTGGAGCAGGCTGCCCGGCACAGTACCCTACTTTGTCATTTTATTTGCACCAGTTGCAGGTGGAAGGGATGTTACCAAGGCAGGTCGGCAACCAAGGTGGCGAAGTCTTGAAAGCCAGATGGTGGGATCATTTAAGGGTGGACCTTGAAGGATGCATCAACTGGGTAGCAAGATCTACGGCGAAGGTGGCCAACCTTTTTGTTTGGCGAAGGCCGAATAGGACTTTCAAATATTTTTCACGGGCAACCACGCATTGACACAGACGCAACTAAGTCACTTTTGTCACTGCAAAAAGTCCTTTGCAGTGATAGCAGTGATTGTGTGTGCTACAATTAGAAACAGTGTTGACGTAGATATTTCTCTCTTACACTGGGTTAGTGCAGCTATTAGTCTTGCAGCGAGATAATTTGCGGGCCGTTTCAATGTGGCCACGGGTCCTATAAAATGAAGTGGGGAGCCTGATAAAGGGACACTGTAAGTGTCGACCTTTGAAAGACATAGAGGTTATATAGCAATTTTGGGAAACTAAGAGCAGATCTTAAAGGTCTACTGTGCCAATACTTGATTGATCTTTGGGAAGGCAGGAAGCAGTGGCGACGGAACAATGGCATTGCACTCTCTGTTAGTGTAGAGGTGATACGCGCTGGGATGAGGGATCGTATGCCAGCGAGTAATGATTGGCTGTGTATGTGGTGACGCGCGCTGACGGTGGAGGATCAGGGGTCAGCGCGGGGTCGTGGGTTACGGGGTAATGATTGGCTGTGGGCCGGTGACGCGCTGAGAGGGAGTGACCTGGTGGCAGCGCGGTGTGATTGGCGGAGTAGCGTTAACACGCGCTGGGGAAAACGGATCGTAGAGAGAGTGCGTCGTGATTGGTTCACTAAGGAGCAATGCTCACGTCGACGTACGCATCAGCTCCGTCTCTCGTGAGCAGGGGCTATAAAAGGGGATGCACACAGGCGTGAGGGCAGTGTGTAACCAGCGAAGAATGAAGACGGGGATGAAGACCTAGGGCCCTGCGGTACCTAGTCCCGCTGTCCTAACGGGACCGGGACTCTGTGTAACCCAGAGGCGAGTGTAGTGTGTGTAGCCATAGGCATAAGGTCTACACGAGCCGAATGCATTGTGTGTAGCCAGGGACATAGGGTCTACACGAGTCGAGTGTATTGTGTAGCCAGAGGCATAGGGTCTACACGAGTGAAGGGTATCGTGTGTAGCCAGAGGCCTAGAGTTTACACGAGATTAGTGGAGTGTGAAGTCGGAAGAAAGGAGACCACACGTTGTATTTTGACACGTAAAGATTTAATAAAAAGTGTGTTCCCGTCAAGAAGTTCCTGCCGTCAATTCCCATACTTCATTAGTACTGAATCACGCACAAGCATGTGTTGGTGCAAGTCAACATAAACTTGGCCCTGCCTTGAGGAACGTGAAATTTCCCCCGCTTAGTCATGACCTGGCGACCACATAGACCTGCATCTTGTGACGTTTGTTATGGACGGTGCCCATCTATTAAATTACTGCGTGTCATGTACTGCGTGGTAGGCAGCATGGGGCAGTGCTGAAAAATCCATTATTGTGTTGTACATAAATGCTCCCACTTCTATATGCCCCACGTTGTATGTATGTTGAACTTCTTTAGCACCATACATAGCCAACCGTGCATGATCAGCATGGTGAAGTATGCTCGAATTGCCCACATATCCAGGAATGGATTGACGAAGGGTTGTACATTTATACGATTTCATGTTCAACTACTTAAAATTGTTAATTTTACCAGGTAAGGCCCACTGAGCTTATATAGCTCTTTTTCAGAAGTGACCTGCCTACAAATAATAGCTCAGAAAAGCGGCTTATGACGTGGAAATGTAATGCAGATAAATACTCTAAATGCAAGTTTCTAAATGTCGAGAGAAAAACCGGAGGACCCGGGGAGAAATCCACGCGACCACGGGAAGAATATGCAAACTCTAAAAATACAGGCGTCAGGGTCTGATTAGAACCCACAACCTCCTCCATACCAAGCGAGGCAGTTAACATTTTGCCACCATAGTACCCTGAACTATGAAGTTAATAGTGATGAGCACCGGTTGGGTTAAATCTGTAGTACATTTGGCATGGTAATTCCAACATACAAGAGCATTTAACTTGCTTGAGAATGCAGCAGTAATGTTTGTTACCTTTATTTAAAGAACAGTCTGGGCCCTGACATAGTAATTTAAATATTCCACCTGAAGCCCAATACGGTCCTCACAAAAAAGCATGGAGAGGTGCATACTTTAGACTTGCACTTAGAAACAAAAAGAGGAACACATGGATGGGATAAAATACACATGTTCGCGACCTCACATTGATTGAATAAAATTAAGCAGGCTTGAGCAGAACCCATCATTTGAATAGATGGCCAGCGGTGGAGACTAACGATGGAGTGGCAACCAAAGGAGGGAACAACACCCGAGAGGACACGTGTACCGCGGAGGATCAATTTGTTCGCATGCAGGTGATTGTACCCAGGTCCTGCAGACATTGCCGCACTGCGCAAGACCGTGGACTTCTGGAGTCATCCATTCAACAGTGGATTGATCGTGGTAGATGATGGTTGCATTTATTTACCACCTCGTTACCCCGCCAGGTTTGGAGAGGACGCGGTGAATGACGGCTTGGTGTGGGGCCTCCCCGTGGATGCCGAGGTAGATGGGCCGGGAGCCAGCAAGGCCTCGCTCGACGGCACAGTGGCCGGCAGGTCCAGCCCCTTTGCTGCCGACGGCCACACGGCCACCCCCGATGGAGTCCTTGACCGCAGGCGGAAAAGGAGCAAAGGGCAGCCCAAGACAGGTGAGATAATGGTTGGAGAGACGGGAGGTCGTTCATCATTGAGGTGAAAGTTCAGTCACGAGTAGAAGGCCCAACGAGAGGAGGTCAGTTCCCTGGTGAAGACTTGGAGTTTAGGGGGACAACACGAGTCGGGAAGTTGATGCAAGGTGTGGAGAGAAGAGGGTAAGGGTCTCATGGAGCAGAGATGAAAGACATGAAGATGAGGCAAGGAGTGGAGGGATGAGGTAATGGTCAGGAAAGTGAGGGGGAACCGGGATGATGAGAGAAAGGACGAGGAGATGAGAGAATGAGCGGTGTGGAGAGACGAGTGGGGGTGATAGAGGAGGCAAGAGTCGGCAAGATATGTGAGGATTGGTGAGCCGGTAGGACAGGATGAAAATAAGCAACCGTAAGAGACAGGAAGTACAACAAGATTATGAAGAGGTGAGAGAGAGAGCTTTGGGGGCAGGGAGAATAGAAGATTGTTTGGAATGGAGCATAAATGGCTCAAGACTTGAACTGCAGCAATACAATCCATTCTTGCTTCCATAATAGCTGTGTTTCTCCCGGATTTCACTAATTTATGGTTTATCGGCAAAAGCGTAGCTTGGCTACCTTGCATTATAACCAATTTACAATAGACCATTATCACCCTTGTTTAGGATCCTGAATGCAATGTGTCATTGCTACCCACTGTAGTGATTGTTGACACTGGTTTCACACTCATTTGTGCTTGTGCTGCAGAGCCCTGAACTTTCTGGACACTGTTTTGTTTGTGTGTGTGTGTGTGCAGGGGCTGCTGGTGCTGCCAAGCGCACGGGCATCTTCGATGTGCCCGACTGGTAGATACGTCCCTTTCCATGGCAGCTATTGACTTCCTGACCTCTGACTCGCAGCTCTTGAACTGACTTCTGTCACCTAACTCCTTAATGCTGCCCTTTGACATCCGACCTCCGACCCTCAACTCTTGCACCTGCCCTCCTCACACCTTTGTCCATCACCCTCTCCTCAGAACAAAAAGTCACATGTATTGTGTTGTGTGTAAGGTGCGAGTCAGTAGGTACATATGTGTAGGTGTGTGTTCTCGACCCCCTGTAGGTGCTTCAGAGTATGCATTTGTGTGCATCTGTGTTGGGGTGTGTGTGTGTGTCTGAGGTGCTCGCTAACAGCACTTGCCCCGAGTGTCTTAATGGCTCTTTGAGTTCAGTGCGTATGTGTAGTTGTTACACGTGTGTTTGCACGAGTGGTCATTAAACGTATGTGCATGTATGTCGGTGTAGTTTGCGTGGTGTTAATAATTGTGGTCAGTACAAGTAGGATAACACTTGTGTCGATATGTTGAGCTGTTTGCAAGTATGAGTTGTCAGTGCAAATGTGTTGCATGTTTTGTCAGTGTGTGTTAGTGTAGGTGAGTGAACAGTATGTGCATCCTTGTGTCACTGGTCGATACAAATATGCACTAATGTTTGTCTTTATATTCCGTAACAGTGTGTGTGTGCAATTGATGTCAACACATTCATGTACGTACCATTGTAGGAGTGCGTGTTCACGGTCTGTATAAACAAATGTCTGTATGGTCTGTACAAACGTGTGAGAGCAGTGTTAATACGTACATGTGTGAACATATCAATATGTATGATTGTGCCAAGATGGTCTGTGAAAGTCTGTTGTAAGTAAATGCTTGTCGTTCTCGGGATAGTAGTGTGTTTGCGTGTCCGGTGTGGTCTGTAAACCAGCGCGTTCTGAAGGCCGCACACAGCACTTGCATAACCGGGCATGTCGTTGTCACAAGGCCCTGGTGGCGTTGTTTAAATACGGCAAACTTGGTCTCAAGACTTAAACTCTGCCGAGTTGGCAATTGCTCATTTCAATGTCTCCGTGTCAGGTTCCCTTTTGTTAGGCACTTTAGAACCCGGCTACTGTGAGTTGATTAAATACATGGTGCCAGAGGTGATGGAATTTGATGTGTTGCCAAGTGTGTTTTTAGAACTGGGACGTCATTATCCTTGATGATTTAGTTTTTTGAAAAATATTTGAATCCCACGTTTTTTGGGTTTAAAAATGAACTTTTTTATATTGTGGTATTGTTTGTGGCTATAACTGCCCATTGTGTTTGTAACATGTTTTTATAGTTATTTTATTCATCTCATGGGTAAAACGGGGCGTCATTCACCCACATGGAGGAAGCATGGCAAAGAGGTCACGTTTGATGGTGCAAATTAAAATACTTTTCATTTTTATATACATTTTATAGTTAATTTTATTTTAAAAAAATTAACTAAAAATTGAAAATACAAGGGCAGTATCTATAATATTTTTTTGAAGAACTCGAGGTAAAAGTTTTTTTTACAAGTATGAATGGATTCATTTGACTTCCCATCACAAGTTTTGACCTGGCTATATTTGCCATTGTTTACCTATGACCATGTTGTGAATGGGGCTTTCAAAAAGCGACATCAAACTTGGTCCAATAACCTAGACACAAAAATAATAAAATTAAACTTTCAAAACTCGAATCTTACACTTCAGGTGTTGTGACCACGTTCTACAAACAGGCCCCGTTATCTCCTCGTCGCTGTCCATCGTTAAACGGGTGGGTTGGGGGGAGGGGGAGCGTGCTGTCCTCCGTTGGGGGACGTTAAGCTGGCAGGGCGGGGGACGGTTGGCGGGCACTGAAGCGAGGACACTGCCGTTAATTTGTGTCGATCGGTCAGAACCGGCCGAGGCAACCCCCCCGGAAGTCTCGCACGGAATTTTGTCGCTATCGTCCAGACTCGCGTGGTTTTGTGAATTTTTAACAGGTGGAGTGATTTCACGAGAGATCTATCCCCTACCTCTTGCCCTGATCTTGAGAAAATCGCATTTGTGCCGAAACCTGTACATCTTTAGCTTTGTGTTTGTCTTTTCTATTAATAAAATAAAAAAATTTGTTCACATTTACCTGATTGTGAATGCTTTTTTTTTACTAAATTGCTTTTACCTATAATTCCTGTTGCATGTAAATTGCTTGCTTTTTCCCATTATCCTTCTAGCCCTAGTCGTATTGCAACACCAACAGTAGTCTGGTTTAATATTTAAAATGCTGTGGGTGAATGTGGTGTGCTATGTGGTCCTCGTATTCTATCGCAAAACCACTAGATGTCGACTTTTCAATCTTCTAGTATGATCAGCAACATACACTAACATCAATAGCCCTTAACTAGGCCAGAATCGTAGGGCCATTCCTCCGTGTTAACAATTGTATCTACTTCCCATAGAATATTGCTCATTTTGTGAACCCTGGAGCGATAACGAGCTTGGTGAACTACCATGGAATTGAATAACCATGCTTGTACTTTGAGCCGGTGGTAAAACCTGTTACTGTATGGGAGAAATTAACACGACAGCAAAATCGGTTTCCAAATAACTTTATTGAGTAGCAAGGAGCCACGAGCATACGAAAACAAAGTCCAGCAAAACTGGCGTGGTATCACCATCCTGTCTTCACTTCCTGTCAGAATGTCACGGCCCTCGCATGTATTGAAGCATATCCTTTAAATCACATTTTCCATGCGCTCACTACGGATTAATGTTACTATAAAAAGTAAATCCAATTTCACGTCGCTAAAGTTGAATGGAACTCGTTTTAAAAAACCTCTGCAAATTAACAGAGGTCACTTGAACAAAGAAAACGAATTGAATGGAAGTCTGAATAGATGTCCATAGTGAATGCAAGTTGCTTTATCAGACATCCGTGAAAGTGAATGTGGGTTGATTTAGCTCAAATATCTACAGGTAAGTGAATGGAAGTCTCTTCGTATGAAAGTGAGCTACAGTCTTTTAACAAATCTCGATGAAAGTTAATCATGTGTTTTTTTTACTCGACACTTTAAAATCTAGCTGGGTGGCTGAGAGGTCGGAGCACAGAGCCAGCCCGACTGGGATCCTGGGTTTGAATCCAGGTAGCAGCCTCTTCATTAAACCGGGTTCTCAAGTAGCGATTTTGATGGTCGTAGCCTGGTCACCAAATTACTATCAAAGTTTCAAGTTTATTGTATTCAACCAGATGAAAATTCAAAGAGACCAGGGTAGTCTAATTTAAAAGTGTGACTGGGGCATTAGTCATTAAGTGGTTCTCACTTGACTTTGCCTAATTTCCAACTGAGAAATATATATTTGAATGCCATGCGACGAACATTCCTCTGGCGCCTCCTGATGTATGAATAAAATAGATCACTTGAAGGGATCCACGAAGTCTTCTGTGATAGCTGCTTTTTGTGGGCCCGTTCTCCAACACCGCGTGATGCGCTCTTTTGTAAAGTGTAAATTGTACATTTATTCGGCTTATGACAAGATGCCGACAGAACATTGACAGCGAATGATATATGGAGTTGGTAATATAGAGTAATCCTCCACTGCTGGTAATGTGGGTCTCGTCCTCTTCTGGGGGATGTGGACGGCCCATTCCATCTCAGCGGCTCAACTCGCGACGCACGCATGTGCGGTAGTCGTCCTTCTTTGGGCTCGTCCTGTGGTCCTATCAACGGCAGAGAGACCGAGAAGTTCAACTCCAGAAGTCTGACTGGGAAGGGGGCCCCTGCTCACTCAGGGGTCATGGCATGGAGCAGAACTGTTGCCCCTCCTGGGTTAAAAATCAGATTTTAAGTTTAGCGTGATATTATTTGCTTCATCATTATACATCGTTTTATTTGATTGCTTTTGTTTATTTTCGCTGACCCGGGGTTATTCTTGCAAATGGGACGACACTGGTCTCGTGCATTCTCACGTAGTTAAACAGATACATTTGGTCACCAATGACTGCACAAAAATCCCCATCGTGTAAAATCCCAGCTGTGAGGATGAAGCATTCTCAATTTGACTGCTATACGATGAACATTGGTCTGTGACAGGCACGTGGGAGAGTGCAGCGCCCCCAAATGTGTGAAGAAAAAAAAGTTACTTTAAGGGTTCTGTGATATCACCTTTCTGGAGCCATTTTCTACCACGGCAGAATGGACTGCTCACTTTTAGAGTTCCAAATGGAATTCTTCATCTCATGTCACGATGCCGAAAGTATATTTGGAAGAAAAAAAACCAACTGTCGGGTCACCCGAGGGAGAGTGTGAGTGTGATCTGCACGGCGCGGTTACCCGAGCGCCACGGCGCAGTCGGTCCCTCATGACGCCCAGGAACTCCGTGTGGCTCAAGCGGCCATCGCCGTCCTCGTCGAAGAGGTGGAAGACGGTGCAGACGAGGTGCGGCGACAGGTGCAGCCCCGTGGCCACGCGCACGGCGCGGCGGAACTCGTCTGCACAAGGCCACGCACAGGGGCTCGGTGCGGTGGAGGTTGTATACAGCGTGGTGTGCGGTGTCATAAACCAATGCGGTGTAAAGTGTGCGCTAAAGGTGTGTCGCTCGTAGGTTCGCTGTGGGGAGGTGTAGCCATGCATGGCCTGTATTGTGTATATTTTTTTCCCCAGTGGTTTCACTGTGAAGCGATGTAGCTATGTGGGATGATTCAGTGTGGTGTGCTCATGTTATGGTGCTGCGGTGTAACTCACAACGGTCTGGTTTCGTGGGTGCCTGCGTGTGTGTGTGTGCATGTATTCTCAAATGTCGCCGTGTGTGACTCCCGTATTTTTTGGCCCAATAGGACGGCTGGCACTAGGGTGCCCGTGTTTCCTGGTGAGTCTGCCTACAAATGACCCTTCCAGACTTGCACGTTTGTTCACATGCATCCCCTTCCCTCCGTCTCCCCGTGTGTCCCGTGTGTGTCCCCCTTCCCCGCCACGTTACCCTGTCCGATGGCCAAGCCTGCTCGCGTGTACATCTGCACAGCAATAGAGAAGTCCTCCAGGTTGTTTAGGAACTGGAAGAACGAGTGGAACTCCTCAAACGAGATGCCCTGGGGGCACAAGGGCAGAGAGACCCACAAACACAACAGACTGTTGGGGCAAAAATGCTGTTGGCGAGCACCTCTGAAGACTGGCACGGCGCACGAGGGGGTGGGTGGCCAGTGCCACACTTATCCGCCTTTGTCTCCCTAGTGGCAATGATTACACACCACACCAGGTACTCATTTGAGGATGAGTCGACTTAGACAGACACAAAGACACACAAAGACATGCACATAATACATACACACGGACAAACAAGCATACATATAGACATCGGCAGCATCAACTAGCGGGGTAAATGGGACAGCTCCGGGTTAAGTCTTAAATTGCGTTTGTGGAGTGTGGGGGCAGGGCGCTGAGACCAGGAGGTCAGGGACGGGGGATTGGGGTGGGAGGTCAAGCGTGAAGCATCAGGAATGTGAGATTTCAGGAGCAAAGGGTTGGTGTGGAGAGGGAGTTGCAGGTGAGAGTTCGGGGGCCGAGTGCTTCGGGGTCGAGTGAGAGGCCCGGCGGGTAGTTACCTGTCCGGCGGGCACGCGTGCAGCGAGATTCTCGGTGATGGCTGCGGCGTCACGCACGTCCGTGTAGCGCAGGAGGACGCGCGCGAACGCGCCCTCCGAGATGACGCGGCGCCCGTGCGCGCACGCCTGGAACTCGCGCCACACCACCTCCTCCTGCAGCGCCGTCGTGAACCTGCGGGCGGAGAGCGTCGTCGTAGCCGTTCAACGTCGCAGCGTCGGCAAAACGACGATGGTTTGATCGCAAATGCATCGATGCGTCGACTCGCTCCGATTCTCGCAATACACGCTTTTGAACTGCAGGCATGCGAATCGGTTATTGGCAACGTGCGCGTGTATTGTAATTGGGAAGGTGTGCCCTGAGAGTGGATAAAGATGCCAAATGACGGGACTTCAGAAGTGGTCCTGAGACATCAGCTATGGCATAGGGCGGTGCACTGCTCGCAGCAAGTTCTGAACGAAATTTGATTCTGTCCATCCCATGGCATGACGACGATGGCACGAATGGAGAACAAGTCGTAAATATAAGAATGCAAAATACAGGATACAACCACCTCTTACCAAGCCCTTCCATCGCCAACAATTAGCCACCAGCATCAGTAACTATACGACCTCCCCCCAGACCACCAACGCTATGACCAACTTTTCGTCCCATTACTTCCACCACCATCCCCACCTGTAGAAGTCCTGGTAGTCCAGCTCTTTGTCTCCGTTCCTGCCGAACAGGTGGACCAGCAGGGTGGTGTCCCCGTGCCTCTTTACACTCGCCGCCTGCCACCGGCACCAACAAGGAGAGAGGCACAATGACGGGGAGTTCGCTTCACGGGTGTCCCCTGCCCCCAACAGGGCCTCGCGAAGTAGCCACCACCAAGTCACCCTAGTCCCAGTTGAGACACCAAACGTCGACTATTGCCAGCGGCGGCTCGTGGCTCCAGTTTGGGGAAGCTGCAAATTCCAATCGCGGGTTTTCGAGTCTCAGGTGCCAAGTATAATGGGATATTTGATCATGGGAATACAGGGGGCTATGTGTGGTGATCGTGATGCGCCAGTGCTGGGCTCGGAACCAGCTGGGTTCTCCTGGGAGGCTGCGTGCACCTATCAGCTGGAGAAAAAACGCTGCTGATTAATTCCCCTGCATGCTGCACCCTGAACACCCAAGACGGAGCCTGAAGCTTCACCCAAACTGGGGCCAAATGTTGAGCTGGCACCACTGAGACCCTGGTTTCAAATCTAGGTTTCAAGCCACCTGTAATTAAAGCAGGTTCTCAAAGACTTTCAGTTGATGCTTTCACCATGGACACCAATAACTGCGCAAAAATCACGTCAAGTTTTGATTCTTCAACGCTGAGAATTTAGATCAGTTTTACACATAATGCAGGGCCGTCGGGAAAGTGTTGCCCCCTACTGTGGGTATTTGTAAAGGATCTGAGAGCTTTCTGTGTGATATCCATTTTCTTGGGTTGTTCTCCAACAAAATAGGCCGCTCTGCTCTCAAAGAGTTCCAAATTAGATGTTTTTTATAGTCACACGACACCGACAGCACAATCGGGAACAATTGTGGACAAACGTGATTTGCAGCAAAACGAAAACAATGCTTGCAAGTGTCACCCAACCACAGCGTCTGCGTGCAGCCACGGAGGACTGACGGGGCACGTGCCGCTGGCTGGGCGGTCAAACCTTTACCGGCATCGTGGCACACTCCTCCGCGCCGGCCTCCGCCCTCCGCTCGTTGCGACTATTGAAGATCTCCTGCATCTGGATTCAAACGCATACACAGTCTATGTCAACAGGCGCGAGACAAAGATCCCCCGTATAGCCTTAGCAGACTGTTGGGGCAAGTGCTGTTCACGAGCACCTATGAAGCCCAGCACGGCACGCGACGGGGTGGGTGGCCAGCACCACGCCCGGCCACCTTTGTCTCCCTCGTGGCCATATTTACACACCGCACCAGATACTGTACTCATTCAAGGCTGAGTCGACCCAGGACTGGTTGAAATAATCGTCACTGGTGTTGGCCATGAGCGGGGATCGAACTCGGGTTGTTAGGTTCGGAGCGCAACGCACTAACCGTTACGCTACCGCTCCCCACACGCACGCACATTCAGAGACACACACAATGCTTTGAGATCCACACACAATGCTTTGAGATCCACATACAAACATCACCCACACATACACATGCAGAGACGCATGCAAAATGGCATAAAGGTGCTTACACATGCATGCGGACAGATACGTTTTGCAGACCCGTAGACAATTACCGAAAGACACGCAAACGCATGCACACAGACACATGCACATACAGACACACGCAGTAGGACACATACACATATCGACACACAGACATTGCCAATATGCAAATAAAACACATCCTTATATAGACACAAACACACACGCAGATGCGTACGAATGCACATACAGATGCAGACACGCATGCACACAGACACATGCATGAAGACATCGAGATGTCATACAGTCACACGCAGACACACAGACACATGCAGACACGCACGCACGCATGACCCCGTTCAGTTACGTGAGAGGACGCAGGTTGGAGGCTGCAGGCTGAGTTCAGGTTAAGTGACCGTGACCCTTGCTGGTGGTGGTGTTCACTCGTTGAATGCAGGAGGGCACAGGTGTGGTCAGTGAGTATGAGTGAGCTCAAAGGTCACGAGCGGAAGGTCGCAGGTCAGGTCAACAAGGCTCTTGTGAGAAGGTGAAATTTTCAATCTGCAAATGACTGCCTAAAACATACCTGTCAACCCGTTATCAGTGCCCTACCTTATTACAGGCCAATTCAGACCTTATTGGTGACCCCGTGCCCTTATAAATTTCAACGTTCATTCTACGAAGTCCCATCACAAGGGAGAAACACAAACAAAAAGACAAACATTTTTTTGGCCATATTGAAACGTCTGTACGCCGTACGGATGTGAAAACTCAATTTCCCTGTACAATAAAACGTGTATATCGTATGGGTTGACAGGTATGCTAAAACGTTCATAGAGATATGTTCATAAAATAACCATTATCCAGGTGGCTGTTCTCTTACAGGAAGGGTTGCCCTGCTCTGTGAGAGTTCCAAATGATTCCTTCATCTCATGACGTGGCACAGATAGCTCAATCGGGATAAAATCTGGATAAAGTACACATTTTAAAAAAATGCTTGACATGCAATAAACCTATGGCTACAGGTAGGACCTCCATGAATTACCCAATGCTTCAGTAGACTGCTAAGAAAGTGAACGGCGGTCGTTTTACGAGCAGATCTCTGCGAATAGTTTTGCTGTGGTCTGCGTTCTCGACATACGATCGAAAAGGCATAACTTATAATACTGGTCGAGGGTCGAGAATCAGCCCATCGCAGACCTTGGGTCAATTATAATTGCAGTTACAGCAGTATGGTCAGCTGAAAGTACAATTACATTTTGACTGCAATTCATTACAAGTGGCAAGTAAGTGACCCGTGGTCTGACCCATAGTTCGTCGCGGGCCAGCAAAATGAGCAAGTCAACAGTGGCCATCGTTTAGATTGACTCGTCCCTGGCGTGAGAATGTAGAATTCCCAACGAGGAAGTGCCATCAACGGGAGATGAAGCACTGCCCATCTTCATTACAGAGCTGGACAGTTCCGCGATTACAGATGCAAATTTCATTCGTATAACCATGCAGTGGCTCTTTACTTGGGCAGAATCTGTGAACCAAACGAGGACAGTAATTCAGATGGAAATAATTTGTCCAACTTCCTTGAGAAGGGAAAACGATTCGTGAAATGCCGCGGTGTCGGATGTATGCCAATAAAACAGGCTTCTTCATTTAGTTACGTGTTTGTCCCAAACCGCTGACTCTGTCGGTACACAGCCATATGTAAATACTGTATATAACCTCGAGATGATTACCTTCACAACGATGCCCCACGTGTATTATTATTATGGTGATTTACACATTTCCAATGCTGCGTTGTGGAACTGCCCAAATGTAAACAGGAAAAGTGAAAAGGAGACGCGTGGCATCACTGGGAAAATTCACCGTTAGGCGCCACGGTACCATCCCGAACCCTAACCACACTCACTGACCAGACCCTAACACGAGCCACTGGGAGGTTAACGGTGTATGGATTCAGAGATCGATATCGATGATTAAGCTCACGAATTACGCATCTTGTCGTGTATGTAAAAATCTGTTTTACAATTTGTGTATGTTTTATGTAATGGGTTCACACCGCCCCCAACAGCCACTCGACGCGCGAACATTTACCGCAGTCCTAAGTACAATGGATTATTGAATCGAATCGCCATCCTGCATCATGACAATCAAATTGCCGATGATGGAATGGGTGCAGTCGGAACACCACTAACTACACGAGCCAATCAGACCATAGCCCCTACCTAAAGAGTTAACCAGACTCTTAACTATAACCCTACCACTGACCCTACCCCAACTCATAACCACCACCTCTGCTGCTTGACCCAGTCTAGGTGTTTAACTATTAAAATATCCTTCAATATTCAATTGCCATGAATCGGAGTCATAATCACATTGAGTTTGCCTTGTGGGTAATGCCTCATTTGTGTTGTCTCATTCGTGCCCATTAAACTGCCTCTACTTTCAAATTTTCCACTGTCCTCAGTTGGTACAACCAAGGAAATATTTGCACAAGGAATTACATAAACGGAAAAGAACCGATCCTCACATCCACGATTTGATGCGTGTGTCACGAGAGCAAGAATCAACATTGATCGCTGAATCGATACGCGTCTGACTCACATTCGTTTTAACTTTTCGTTCACTTTTAACTTTAACTGCTGCTGTTCAGTGCCTTGGTGGCCGATATTGGGTGAGGGGCGTCGAGGGGAGAAAGGTCAAGGAAGTAGAGGTCAGGAATGAGAAGTCAAAGGGTCGCAGGTCGGGCTACCATGAGGAACTCGGTCTTGTCGATGTGCTGGTTTCCATCCGCGTCCAGCATGTTGAAAGCGATCTGAAACCCGGCCAGGGGCTCTAGCATGGAGACATCGAGGCACGTGGAGACACCGAGACACGTGGGGACACATGGGGACACATGGGGACACGGCGACACATGGGGACACACAGACATGTGTAAACACAGAGACGCACGGACGCACAGAGAGCTTGTGGGGACACATGGGGACACACACAGACCTGGGGACACAAGGACACGTGGGGACATCAAGATACAAGTAGACACAGAGACATGTGGGAGACAGACACAAGACACGTGGGGATGTGCGGAACATGTGGATGACACGTGGGAGGAAATGGGGACAGACACACAGAGATACACTCGCACGTAGGGACATAGAGACGTTGCAGAGACAATGAGCAAATTGACAGACACGAAACACGGATGCACCAACGTAAGCACACAAGTACGTACACGCATTTACAGGTACACACATATACAAGTAGACACATACAGTAAAACCACGGCTAGGCAGACTTTGCATTTCTATAATTAATTCAGCTCAGCTTTCGGGGATGAGATAATTGTTTTTGTTTCTTTCGATTTAAAGCTTTCGTGACTGCAGGGATTCATCTTCTTGGTTCTTTCGGTAAAGTCACGTAGAAGGGAAATAATAAAATAATAAAACATAATAAAGTAAAAATTCTCACGTTTCAGAGCTGTCGGACGCTGTCTCTCCGACAGCTCTGTTTCTTCACCTGAGGACGGCTGCTTGTGTTGCGGCCGAAACGTCGTGAGAATTTTTTTTATGTTTTATTTTTATTATTTTATTATTTCCCTTCTACGTGACTTTACCGAAAGAACCAAGAAGATGTTTTTGTTTCGTAATATTTTTTATTAATTTACATTATTTTAGCAGCTGGCCGGAACACGAATCCCCACCCATCCGTCCGACTAGCCGGGGTTTCATTGTCTACAAACGCATTGAACAAGTACACAGATATACAAGTATAAACATTTACCAAGTGCACGCATGTATAAGTGCCCACGTACACACACATACAACTACCCTCATCATTACATATACAAGTAAACACATATACGGGTACACACACATACAAGTACTTGCAAGAAGGGGACATTTAACCATACTTCATCACACTCATCAGTGTTGGATGAAGGTTGGGGGGTTCTGGGACCGGATCAGATATCACTCACCACTAATGTTAGCAGTGGCTAGGAATCGAACTCAGGTCGCCGGTTTCATAGTGCAACGTGCTATCCACTGCACCACCGTTTCACCCCTAGACACGTATACAAGTACACACACACAAGTACATATGTGTAGTGGCATCGCCGGATGTCACTGCACGCCACTGTGTGAAGCCGGCCTGGGACATCGCCGCGCGTGGCTGCAGTGCCGGCCCTAGCGGGCACGACCAACACTGCGGGGCAGTGGTGGGTGGCACTGCACTCTGTGTGTCGTGCCAGCCCCTGGAGGATAGGGGGCGACAGTGCCAGGGACGGTACGGGGTTCAGAGGGGGCCATGACCGGAGGTACCAACCCGGGGACCCCCAAAAAGGGGGCTGGGGGGACCACGTGTCCAGGGGCAGGTCCTTCTCGAGGCTTCGAGAAGGTGGGCGTGGCCAGGGGCGGAGCGAGCTCCGGGACGGGGGAAAGAAGTGGGAGCCCTGAGCGGCACGGGTGGTTGTCGTCCGAATGAAGATCTCCACGTCGTCGCCTGCGAGAGGAGCTCCAACTACAGGACCCGGACAAGAGCTGGGGTCCGGTCCGCGATAGCTACCCCGTGTGTTCAGAGTAGCTGGCCCGGAGGATAAACCTCCGTAGGTTACCTGGTGGAAGGGGCAGTTACTCTGTTGTGTTGGGGCTATTGTTAAATAAACGTGTTGCCTCCAAGAAGAGGTCTCTGTCTCCATCTGTACCCACTACATATGCACCAGTACACACATGCTAAAACTATTTTCATGTTTCCAGGTAAACCCCACTAAGCGAAACAGCTCTCTTTCAGAAGCGACCTGGGCACAAATGATAGCTCAATGAAGTGGCTTATCACGTGGAAATTTATAGCAGCCAAATACTCTAAACGCATGTTTCTAAATGTGAAAGGAAAACCCGGATGACCCGGAGAAAAATCTATGTCTCAAGGTCGGGATAAAAACCACGACATCCTGCATACCAGATGAGAGAGTTAAAATCTCGCCACCACGGCACATTCTCGCCTTACATAAATATACACACATACAGGTACTCAAGAACACGTGCGCATGCACACACAAAGGTACGAATGCCCACGCTCACTGAACGCAATGAGAACGGCCATTGCGAGTCTAGTAATGGACATGATGGGTCACACTGGCGCTGATGCTGATGAAGTTGATAAGGATCACGGCGATGGCGCTAATGAGCGTGATGAAGCTAACGAGGAGGGCCTGATGATGCTAATGAGGAGGTGACTGCGAGTCTCACTGGTCAGGATGCACAGCAGAAACAGGTAGTCCGAGTACGAGATGAGCCCTGTGGGGAGACAAGGGGGGCAGGGAAACAAGGGAGCAGGGAGACGAGGGGACAGGGAGATAAGGGGACAGGGAAGGGACGGGTGAACAGTGATAGGGAAATACAGAGACACAAGGTCAGTGGGCGATAAGGAGCGACAAGCAGCTGTCAATGTGAATATCAAACGTTGTGTCCATCGCACAATTAAGACCTTGTGTGCTACCTAGAGCCGATGTGTTTGTATGTGTGTGAATTTTGTTTGCATATATGAATGTGTGTATGAGCATATAAGTGTACATGTGTATCGTGTACATTTAGAACTTTGTATCTATGAGTCTGTATCTGTGTGTGTACGTATGTACGTTCTGTGCACACTTTACCGTTTTGACCCATGGAATGGAAGAGCTGTGACCTCCTCTCATCCAGGGCTGGAGTCTTTGCCAGAATGGATTCAACTTCCTGTGCAAAGCCAGAGTGGGTGTGGGGGGGGGGGTCAACATTTACAGCGCCTTCGTCTGACTCTGCGAGGCTTGAGTCAACACTGACCCTGAACGAATACCCGAGAGCCCCTTCGCCTGGATCTATGTGGGCCTCAGGCATCGACACTTTATACAACGAATCCTACGGGTGTGACTTAATCCGAGCACCGGGATTCAAGTCTGCCTCTCCGACCCTTCGTGCACGTGCTGACGTCACCTTTTCGGTGAGAATCCTCTTGGGAGCGTCGTCTGATGAGAGAGGGGTAAAGGAGATGAAAGATGAAGGGTTAGCGGTGGCATCATTTCTGTTTTTGACAGTGGTGAGGTGTTCGGGTTAAGCGTCACATATCTTGCTTGGAGGTGAGTGTTGTTAAGGAGGCAGGATTCGGGGTTATGGGTTAGCGTCTTGTGCAAGAGGCTCTTGGTTACAGACAGGTGGCTATAGGTAACAAGACAGGACAGTGCTGCCATCGTCAACATCAGCATCATCACCATCGTCATGTTTATTTGTCATGCGAGTTTCACAACATAGGACTCTTTGCACAAACTTCAGGAACACGTTTTCAGACGTATGTCATTAGCCACCGATACAGTGAAAAAGATGCAACGCACAAACACGACAAGTTCTTGTTGGTACACACCGAGGCTGTGTGCCGATCTGTCCAGAGTGTGAGGAAGCATGAATGAGAAGCAAGTTGGGGGGGGGGGGGGTGAAAAACGATGGAAGGTGCGCACCGCGGGGAGAGTTGCGAGTGACGGAGTCGACGAAGTCACTCGGGGTCATGTAGGGTCGGCCCTGGAAGCGAAGCGACGCGAACGAAGAAAATCTCAGTTCCCGGGGGCCGGGGGCACGGGGATGGTGCCGCTGAGTGAAACAAACACAGAGACAAAGATCCCCCTGTAGTTAATAGACTGTTGAGGCAAGTGGTGTTAGCGGGCACCTATGAAGGCCGGGTTTTGTTTCGGCTGCTCCGGTTTGATCCGACAACTAAGCATTCATTGACCGATAACACCTTCATATATAGAGGACAACACAAAACTTGTACAATTGTTAACGCCTACTCACCACCTGGCTACCTTCTCCCGTTCGTCTGTGGTTCCTCCACATGTCTCCGAGTCGTTCTATTCCTTCGAGAGTGAGTGAATACTGTGTGCAGCGCGGCACATGCTGACATTATTACATTTTATTATTATCGACACAAACACATTGAGAGTCCGCTCATGACCAGCCATTCGACCCCCATAAATGAAACACGCGGGGCCAAGGCTTTCAGCACCAGGGACAGCGCCCGCGGCCTCATTCTCACACGCGTGCAACAACAACGCCACCTCGTTCATCCATCAACAACAGAGCGAGTGACAGTCGTTTAAGCAGACAGCCCCCCCGACAGATTCACTTTTCACACCAACAAGACAAAGCTCCGTCGTATAGCCGGTAACAGACTGTTGGGGCAAGTGCTGCTAGGGAGCACCTATTAAGGCCAGCACGGCACACGAGGGGTTTGGTGGCCAACACCACGCCCGGCCGCCTTTGTCTACCTAGTGGCGGAGTTTACACAGCCTACCAGGTACTCATTTGAGGCTGAGTCGACCTAGAGGAGGCCCAGGACGGGTTCAGATAATCGTCACTGATGTTAGCCGTGAGCGTGAATTGAACTCGGGTCGCCGGGTTCGTAGAGCAGCACGCTAAGAGCTACACTACCGCTGCCCACTATTGAAACCAAAATACACAGCACACATACACACACGTGCACGACTAAACACAGCCAACAGGCCTGCCGCATTCATCCATCAAACAGACTGAGTGTCCTCAATTTAACCAGAGGGCCCCCGACAGATACACTTTCGCCACATAATACACACCACACCCCCCCTCACACGACACAAATACACACCGCACACATAAACCACTTTTCACCACACATACACCTCAGTACTCCACACACAAAATAATACACTATACACCACACTGAAAACACACCACATGCGTCAGCCAACATACACTCCAAATATACCCGTATAGCCTTTCAGACGGTGGGAGCAAGTACTATTGTCGAGCACCTATTAAGGCCAGCACGGCGCACAATGGGTTGTTTCCAGACCCACAATCAGCCGCCTTTGTTTGTCCAGTAATGTTTACCAAGCACCACACCAGGTACAACAGTCGATGCGAAGCTGTCTGTCCTGGTGTGCTGCGTAATCCACGCGAAATTTGGCTGAACGTCTCGGGTGCAGAGCCATTCATGAAGGACTCGAGGCTCGGTGGATCGAAGTTTCGTGGGTAAAAGCTCATCGTCATTACCGCGTGGTTATTACCGTGTAAACGCTGCCCGGATAACAACATACAATGACGCAATGTCCAGATCCACAAATACGAAGGAGAGACATCACAGCGATCCCACTCCGCTGCTCCTGAGCAGGCGGCTCTCTGGCTCAACCACCTCGAACGTGAAATTTCAGTTGTTGCTCTGCATCTCCATACGCCAAACGCAAGAAGAAGAAGACTGTGAAAATGTTTTACAGAACCGAAGCTACAGCAATAAACTTGCAAGCCACAGAGCAAATGCGTTCGTGTGGGAGGTGGCCACGCGCCTCTGTTGACACACACAGAGCGACGTCCCAAATGACGTGGCCACTCATGTGTGGCACACTGACACAATTCGGCGACTCGCCCGCGAACGCGTTCCGTGCCCTTAATTAATACACCGGCCGCGAATCCTTCTCGGGGTTTCGCAAGCCTCGGTCAAGGACCAAGAGATGATCAGGATGATGACGACGACGGCGGCGGCTATGATGACTGACTGAAGCTGCTCGGCAAAGACGAGACGTGGAAGCGCTGCACCGTCACACAAAACGCGACCACAACCCTCTCGATCCATCAACTGCACTTACACCAAAAAGCGTACATTTGTCACACAAGCGATAAACTGGACGTTTTATGGCCACGAGCTCAGCTAAGTTTTGCATCCAGTCCGGCGGCGCTACGAGAATCCATTCTCAAGTTATCGCTTCCCGAAAGCGACTGCCCCTAACGTTTGACCGGTGATGGGAAGACCGCACCTGCGTGTGCGCGCGCGCTTCTTTGACCCCCGTGGCCGCGACCCCGAGGGCGAGAGCAGCGAAGGCGATGCGGGGTGTCCGCGGGACCCGGGGCAGGGGCCTCGAGGGGACGCGGGGGCCTTTGAGGCCACGCGGACGCAGGGCCCTGGCGACAAAGGCGGCGGCATCGAAGGCAGCGCGTATCGCTGACGCCATGGCTGTTAGCTGGCGGAGTGGCTGGACCTATGCTTACATGCACTAGGGATTGTGATGCTAGTGAGAGGCGTGATGCGTATCCAAGCTAGGAATATAGTGTTCTGGCGGTGTTGCTTATCCGTATTGGGTAATGTAACGTGCCTTTGTCAAAGTATACTTATCCGCACTAGGAATTGCGGAGCTTGGCCCAAACTACTTATATTCGTATTAAGCAATGTTTTGTATCATGTGTTTTGACAAGAGGTAATGCAAGAGGTATGGTACTTGAATAGATGCAGTATTGTATAGACCAAGACTTGTAAGCAATACATGTACTCAAAGTTATAAAATATAAGATTGATTTGATATTGTACAATCGTTTCATTAATCATACGTTTAAGCAGAAATGAAAAGCCGTTTAACCTACGCAACCCAGTTTCATAAAAAAAAATATTAAAACCCTTACAATTGCAAGAAAACAAACACGAGTCATGGCTTTGCATTTAAAACGTTAGGCTAGACCGGTCGATTTTCATCGATACTGGTAAAAAAAAAAGCACACACAGGCACCGTCAATTTCAGATATAATACATCAGACAATGTTCGTTTCAAATTCAAGTAGCTGCTGAATGAGGTTTCATTTCAATCAGATACTGGATGCGAGTGGTCGATATCCCGGTGACGTAAAAGACGAGTGAATTGTCCCCGACGTATCCCTTGCTGAAGAGACGATGTACCTCAAAGCGCCCTTACCTGGGTACATAAAGGCAGTTAAAATGGCAAGAGTACTTATTATGCCAGAGGTGGGAAATCTTTTTCTTATAGAGGACTAAATAGGACTCTATATATATCTATGAAGAGCCACACATTAGTTAACATTTAACTTTGACCATGGAAGGACTGTATTGACTGAGCAGGTGACTGAACGCACATAAAATTGGAAAGTTTCAAAGGTCCAAAATATTCCTCTCCAGTACCCAATTAGTGCACCTAAGATTGCAGTGAGGAATATAATTTCCAGGTGGTTTCTGAGAGGTAGGCCTCGTTTGGCCGAGGGTCATGTGACGTTAAGTTGCGGGTCGTATCCGGCCCGTGCCACCCCTGACTCAAACCAATATCAGAGCCACTGAATCGGCACAAATGAGTCCCTGCTTTTAAACGCTGGATCTGGCTGTCTCTTCGAGGGTTTATAATGACTCAGAAATATCAAGTTGGCACCTGTTATATCCAGGATTAGAATCCAGGTTTCAGCCGCCAGTGATTATACCCGGATCTTAGGTGTTGAGATGATGTTTTCAGCCTGGTTACCTATGACTGCACAAAAAACATCTCAACGCATTACTGGATATTTGTCATTTACTCGGCACACACGGCTAACATAATTGGCGAATGTTTCAACGAGCCCTGGGTTCCCAGCTTCTAACCTGCATGGTGAGGTATGATCAAACAACCCCATAACCAACATATTTATCAATACATCGTATGATCAACACATAGCAAACCATAATATACAAAGAAAGTGCATGGTCTCGCGTTGAATGAAAAAGGCCGACAGAAGTGAATCCACAAGTAGGTCTGAAATTATCACATGAGGCTGCTCTGCTGATTTGATGCTTTGCTTGCAGGCAGTATTTTGGAAGGATGTCTTCAGCTTCTGACATAACCATAACTGTGATGAAAGAAAAGTGTTTCCAAGCTCATACAGGAATAGGGGTCGTGCTGATCTCCTTTAATGGCTCTGAGAAAGTGATGAGAACTCAGAATGCCACAATAGGGGTCAGATTATTCACAGAATAATCACTTTACTTGCCTCAAAGTGGTACTCATTTCACTGATCCTAGAAGAACAATGATGGAGCCCAATCGACTCCCAATCAGAATTCATACTTGTTTGAACATATACTCTTTGGACTTTGAACAATGACCAAGGCACAACAATAAAGTAATGATAATACTTCACTTGGAATGTCAAATATACCATTTTATTACAGTACTGTGAGGATTTGGTTGGGGTCTGTCCAGACCTCTCCCCAAAAACACTCGTAAAGCCGTCCAGCCACAGGAGCTCTAAGAGCATGGCCACCCCTCAGATCGGTTAACCGGAAACGAAAAACCACCAACCCCTGTAACAAACCCATTAATATTTTCCACAACATAAACACAACAATAAAAAAAAACATCCACTTGCTCGCATCACCCTGAACGTCACCAAACCACGTGAATCCCGTTCGGGTCTGATGCAGAGAACAGCTGGTCGCCTCGGATCCCTGAGATAAACTCAAGGGCAGTTTTTGGTAAACCAATCTGAGTAGCCGTGCTCAAAGAGCTTGTTTGAGTGGACGGCTTTACAAGTGTTTTTGAGAGGAAATTCGGATGGACCTCAACCAAACCCTCACAAATGGCGAAGCCAAGCTGCTGAAGGGTGGGGGAGGGGCCCTTCATCTCCAGAGCACAATTCCGCCCGCCATCAGGACAGAGTGGGGGCAGAACTCCTTAGCGTCGGGGTTTAGCGGCTCATACAACATTTACTTAATTTGCTTGTAGAGCTTTGGGTAATAAGTGATCACAGATCCATTATTTTTATAAAGTAATTTTCGCGTCATCGCGAGGTCGCTGTATCTCCGCTTGTGGTCCAAGTGTCACCAGCGGTGGCCGGAGAGGAGGCAGCAAGTTTCCCAAAGGCGTGTGCGCAGCGCCACATCTTCCACGGCCTGTGCAGGCTCAATCTGGTGGCCATTTTCCAGGTAGGCCCAAGGGCGGCCTTTCAGTTCGGGGGCAGTGGCAGCATACGTGACACCGGCTGCAGCCTGGCGGGTGGACTGGGATATGTAGGAACACAAGGGGCAAGTCGAGACACATAAAGAGACAGATGACGCAGGGACACATGTGCATATTTAACTTGCTAACCCACCCCTACTGGACATGTGTGAAAAATAGTTGCATAACTCATTGGATTCCTCCAGTCTAAATAAATATTGATTCTGATGCTGATATGGGGAAAGGGAGACAAGAAACTCAAGGGACACATCTGGATGTGGGCAAAGGAAGACAGAGAACACATTTGAACATGCAGAAAGGGAGATCGAAAAATATGTGGATATGCAAGTAGATGATAAAATAGACTTATATTAAAGTTGAGTTAATATTGGATTACTTTTACAAGTGTTACTGTGTCCCCCACGTTCAAGGCAGTCAGACAAACAGACTGAGCTAATGCACAGATGCTTTCAACCTTAGCTGGAACGAGTGAAAAACCAAACAGCACATAAGTGTTAATGCCCAGCCAGCAATATAAATGCACACAATGGATGGGTTAGGAGTGTGAAGGGACGTTACCCGGAAGAGGAATCGGCCCGTGAGCCACTGGCCCATCCTGAAAAAGGCACCCGCGTGGCGGTAGAGTTCAGAGTCCACGACCCCAGGGTCCACGGCGACACTGGTGACATGGCCGCCCCCCTGCTCATGCAGCTGACGCGACCATAGCGTGAGTGCCAACTTGGAGCGGGCATAGGCGGCGTATGAGGAATAGCGTTCGCTGTGGGAGGATGGAGGAGGCACAGAGCAGCACAAATACATGCACAGAGACCAATGCATGAATACACGTGCACACAAGTGCTTCTGCATGAGTATCGTCATCACCAGCAGCCAGAGATATCCCATTCTCCATGAAGGCCTACTCCAGCCACCGACACCCTCTGCCAATCTCGCAATGCAACAATTAATCTATTTCTTGCACAAGTGCTGATTTCATCTCTTCATCTCTGCACTGGATGTACACTCGGGTGTGTTCCCTGCTTTGGCTTCGACTTTGTCGTTAGTCTCGACCACTGACTATCATCCCATCAATAATGTGTCTCTAATTTGTGTAGGTTCTGTAAGCCACATGTTCCTCTTTTTGCCTCTCAAGTCGAATTCCAAACACGCAAATCTGCACTTTCTTTACGCACTTTCCATTTTCTTTGTCAATGTCCATATTACTGATCCATGTTTTACAAGGCAATATACACTGATTAAAAACGTTCCTCTTTAGATATATTAGCATGTTTCCTTTCATTATACATTTTCATTTTACAAAAGTACTCCATCCTGCTGTCGATCTCCTTTGAATTTCATCGTTTCGATCCCAGTCTACCTTCATATAATTTCTCTTTGTATAAATATTATGCTGTATTTTTCAAGTGTGTCCCTCCGATAGACATCTCCGAGTACAACTTGTTGTAAGTGACTTTTCATACGAACCAATTATTACTGTGTTGCAGTGGTAGTTGTTGCTGTCAAGCCGACCTGCAGTTAATGTCATGGAAGAGGAGGCGCCCAGCGCGATGCGTGGCCGACGAGACGCAGACGACGCGCAAGGGGGTCGGGCCCTCGGAGGCGCCAGTTAGAAGCGCCGTCAGCAAGAATGGCCCCACACAGTTGACAGCGAGGTGCTCCTCTAGCGCGTCAGCGCTCAGCCGCAGTGGCACCAGCATCACACCCGCTGCTCACGCGCACGCACAGGTACAAAGGGACGGGGTAAGTGGGCGAGCAGGTGGACAAGGCTGTGTCCATTCCGGGGTGAGGACTTTTTTCTTTTTCTCTACAACCAAATCACTAGAAATGTGCGTGTTATTCCCCTATACGTGGTAGGACTTCTCCGGGTACTTCAGTTTGATTTCACACAAAGTAAAATATAGCTTACAAAAGCAAAAGACCAAGCATCACAATGCGAGACACTCCTGAAAAGGGTCTTGAGACTCAGTGAGACTTTCTTGGGTAAAGGATATAAAACCAAATGTCAGACCACCATGAGAGCACGTAATTTAGGAGGTTGGGTGATAACTATGCATGTTGTTGAATCTGGAAGGAGGAAGCATGTGCTGGCTAAGTGTGGTAGCATCAGCAGAATTGGTAATGATGTCCGATTGATCATGAACTTTGCGAATGCGTGGACCCAGCCTCACCGTTGTTCACGAGGATGTGCAGGGGCAGCTTTCGTGATCGGAAGCGGTTCACAAAGTCTCGCACGGACGAGAGGGATCTCAGGTCCAGGTGCATGAAATCCACTGTCAGGAGGGAATGCATTCATTTTATATCAGGTGGTGCACATGTGCATGTGTATGTGTTTATCAATCACATAGTGATGCATGATTGTTCTGTTTTATAAAAACAGATAACCTGAGTTTGAGTCCCTGCCATGACTAACATCAGTGGGATATGATATTAGTACCGATCCTGGGCCTTGCTCTATTTACTAAGCTCTCAAAGAGTATCTGATGTGGTGCATAGAAAATCAGCATTGGGGAGACAAAGACGGTCAAAGGTCATGCTGGCTACACCATCCCCTTGTGCATTGCTCCAGTCTTAATAGGTACACACCAACAGCACTTGCCCAAACAGTTTTGTGTGTGTGCAAATAATTTAGTAAGTACAAATGATATTATAAAAAACAAATACGAGTAGAAATTCACTTCATCTGTAAAGTGTAGCAATGGAAATTATTTACCAAGGAAAGCCTCATCCAAGTCACTAGATTGTATTTGAAGGAGGGTCCTGCATTCGAATGTTTGGCAACGCCATGGTAGAAAGCTGAAGTGCCCAGGGAAGGCTCACGCATACGAGGAGTAAAACTCAACCCTGTCATTGTTTGGCTACCTTGGAGCCCCTGTCTACAACATCTGGCAAGCCCAGTGTAGGTGGTCACTCATCTAATTACTAACAAGGCTCACACCTGCATGTCTTTTGAGATCCAAATAGAATGGAGGGTCAATTAGTGTGATGTAATTAATTAAGGTGATTTGGTGGTTGGTAATTTGGCTATTTGCCCAAGAACAATGTTGGTTTTAGAGAGAGACTAGCTTCTGTCGTGGGAATGTGGAAATTCCGCCACTGGCTGCTAAGTGCCACCGAGAGAAGCTGAGTACCACCACACAGGTAACGTGAGGTTTTGCGGTCGTGTAGGTGGCTTCCATAGGGTGGCGTGGGATGTTACGCACCATCGTCATTCCCCGTGTCTGAACGCAGGGCTTGAGCGGCCTCGTTCCCTTCCTTCTCATTGTTGGACGCTGATACACGGACGAAAACACAGGCAAGGACAAAGCAATTAAAACTCAATTAGGAATTGGACAAGTAAATAACTCCTTGACAAACTGAACAAAAATAAGATTATTAATAAGCCATAATCTAGTGATCACCATAAAAAAGGACACATATATAAACAGTCTTGTGTATAGTATGTCAAAGTACTACATAATTGAATAGTGTAGAGTTCATATCCAGTATAAACTGCTGCTGGCTAATTCCTAGCTCAGCTTCAAATTGTGGACTTCCCTTGGGGCTTTTCCACACTTTATTAGATTTTACTTGCTCATTTTGCCAATATTCACAGATGATGGATGTATCACTCTGTATCTGTAAATATGTATCTGTCTTTATGTCAGCCAGTATGTCTGCATTGTGTGAATCTCTGTGTCTGCCTACTCATCTATGTTATAAATACATGAACAAGTCCGTCTGTATCTTGATTTAAAATCCAGACCACGGCTAACATCAGTGGAAAGTGATATTAGGATCGGTTCTGAGCTTGCCGTCGGTCGACTCAGCCTTATGTGACCACCTAGTATGGCATGTACTCATTAGCACTGGGGAGACAAAGGCGGCTGTGCGTGGTGCTGGCGACACTACTCTCTCGGGAGTCGTTGCTGGCCTAAAATAGGTGCTTGCTAACAGCACTCCCCAAAAAGAACTGCTTATAGGCTATACAGGGGATGTGTTTGTGTCTGTATGTGCATCTAAGTTTATGTCCATCTGCATGTCTATGCGTCTTATTGGTCTGTGTGTAACCAACGGTCGTACCAAGGATGACCCACGTGTTTGTGTCTGTGTGTAACCCACGGTGGTACCAAGGATGACCCACGTGTTTGTGTCTGTGTGTAACCCACAGTCGTACCAAGGATGACCCACATGTCTGTGTGTAACCCACGGTCGTACCAAGGATGACCCACGTGTTTGTGTCTGTGTGTAACCCACAGTCGTACCAAGGATGACCCACATGTCTGTGTGTAACCCACAGTCGTACCAAGGATGACCCACGTGTTTGTGTCTGTGTGTAACCCACGGTCGTACCAAGGATGACCCACGTGTTTGTATCTGTGTGTAACCAACGGTCGTACCAAGGATGACCCACGTGTTTGTGTCTGTGTGTAACCCACGGTCGTACCAAGGATGACCCACGTGTTTGTGTCTGTGTGTAACCCACGGCCGTACCAAGGATGACCCACGTGTCTGTGTCTGTGTGTAACCCACGGTCATACCAAGGATGACCCACGTGTTTGTGTCTGTGTGTAACCCACGGTCGTACCAAGGATGACCCACGAGTTTGTGTCTGTGTGTAACCCACGGTTGTACCAAGGATGACCCACGTGTTTGTGTCTGTGTGTAACCCACGGTTGTACCAAGGATGACCCACATGTATGTGTGTAACCCACAGTCGTACCAAGGATGACCCACGTGTTTGTGTCTGTGTGTAACCAACGGTCGTACCAAGGATGACCCACGTGTTTGTGTCTGTGTGTAACCCACGGTCGTACCAAGGATGACCCACGTGTTTGTGTCTGTGTGTAACCCACGGTCGTACCAAGGATGACGTGGGCTCCCAACTCAGCCAGTCGCCTCCCTGTCTCCAACCCGATTCCTCGTCCACCTCCAGTCACCACGGCAACACGCCCGGTCTGGCGGGGCAAAGCTGACAGCAGCAGGGTGCATGGGGGGTTACCAAAGTCAGTCCTTTATTGAACCGTGTGACAGAGCAATCCCATTTGTAATAGTCCAGGTTCAATACCTCTCTTTTTTCCCCCCTCTATGACCGACTGCCTCCATTATTCGATAAAATATGCCTACTTTTTGTCTAAAAAGTCTTGAGATGTCCCCGCATTTAGACCCGGGGTCGGCAACCTGCGGCGCCGAAGCCACATGTGGCCCTTTGAGGAGTGCTTCGTGACGTTATTTATTAAGGACCAGCCGTCTCGTATTCACTCACATGCATTGCGGCTCTTGAAAAATTTAGTTTTTTTTACAGATTTTTTTAATCTTCTTATATTGGTTGCCGACCCCTGATTTAGACGCAATATACATCTGCGTTCTACTGTAAATAGGGAGAACCTGTAGCTTGAAAATAGCGTACCTTATGTAACAATCCGACAGATCTCTTCTATTTAAATGTTCATACTCTATCTCCATGGGACTAGGGGTAATCCATGCAGGTCGTCTGACAACATCAGTCAGCCATTGAGATGGCAACACCTCCATGAGGAACATCTGAGATTATTCACTCATGTCCTTTCGTTAACCAGACAACACCTTTTAAATACAAAATAAGTCTGTATTCTCTTTATGGTGAGCATCGGGTGGTGTTAAAAGTCGTGGTGGAAATTCCACATTCCTGTGATTAGTATTTCCACAGGATGGTCGGTGTTGACTTTTTCACAAAGTGGTTCTCTGTCAAAGTTATGATAATTATGGTTTATTGATGGGGTTGCTGAAAACTATTATGCGAATGGTGCCAAACCAATGAATGACCCTGGCAGGCATTGTAACTAGCACAAAAAAAAGTGAGTTATATTGTCGTGTTTAATTTAAGTCACCTATGACTATTATTTGGGTATTTCGGTAAAGCCACGTGGCAGTCACGAAAGCTTTAAGTCAAGATCACCGACGACTGTTAAATATAATTTGCAATTAACAAAATCAACCAAAATTCCCACAAGTGCAGGGATTATCATGCTCAGCCATGGTCAATCCACTGCTGGATTAAGGCCTCCTTCAAGATGCCCGTGGGGTCACAAACACACAACACAGCAAAGTAATTACAAGCCTACCAGGCTAATGTCAGGTCAAAGTTAAAAATGAACCAACAACAAAAAAAACCATTAAAATTAATCTTTCATCATAATACATCCGCAATGACATTGTAGCCGTGGCATTAAAAACATTTATTAGAAAAAAAAACAATCATCCTCTACAACAATTGTATTAACATCGCTAGATTGGTAAGTGGCTGATTGGGGAGGGCCTCCCTCCAGCAGTGAATTGACCACGGCCGATTGACCGAAGGCCCGAACGAAGCCACGGCCTCGCCTAGAATCCCTGCCCGTTTGGGGCGACCGTAGGCGGCCGGGGCTCGCGCCGCGGGAGGGGGATCCCCGTTCTCACCTCGGGGCTCAAAGACCGGCGTGACTAGCTGCAGCAGCATCACTCTTATTCCGATGTAGTAAACGTGAAGCAAACATTTAAGCCTGTAAAAGGCCAGACTTATGTTAAAAGTGCACATGATTATCGCTTATATTGTTTACGATGCACTTGCGTTCGGAACTTAAATGGTCATATCGCCCCCTAATGCCGTTCGTTGTTCCGAATTCGTATCTCAAAATGTAATTAGTTTTACCCAATTAACATGAGTGTACATTTCTCAGTTTTGCTTTGCCCCTCGTGTAATAATTGCCTGTTGTAATGTCGAGTTCTAGAAAGCGTCTTCTTGGTTAAGGGCTCTCATAAAGTGCATCGCAAGCTGCGGTGAAATTAATTTCCAAATCCTAGCGTCGATAAGAAAAAGCAGGAAGCGCTCGATTAGCTCCATTATAATAACGTTTTAGATGCTCGTGCGACGTTTTAAAAGCAAATTAACATTTTACGATCAATAATAATACAAAATGTAGCTACATGAACGTTAATATAAAAAAAAATAAAAGCTATGTTTCCGCCCGGTTTCGAACCGGGGACCTTTCGCGTGTTAGGCGAACGTGATAACCACTACACTACGGAAACTTAGGTACCAACGTCGCCCGCAATAACCCTAACGAATGTTACACAATCCTCAATGTTGTAAGTAAACGACGTTTCGGGGAACGGGCCTTCTTTATTGACACGTAGAGAGGCCGTTGAGATAGACTGGATACGATTTGGAGACTGTCCCTTTGAACACTTATGAGGCCTGATGAGAATTATATTTGAAACGTGTTTTCTGATTGCCTCTTTTTTTTAAATGCCAAATTAACAGTTACCTAACTTTAACTGGTGAGTTCTCCTAAATCAACTAATATATTAAAAAAAAAACTATTAAATGTTGCTGGCAAATTAAATTGTGGGAATGTTCTTCAACATATACAGTATTGTATTATTACATTCTTACGTTCATATAATACACTTCCAGGCATTTAAAGATGTTTACCAACGATACAATTACACCAAGTTATGGTTTACCGGAATCTTACATTTTCCTGGAGTAAATCCGACGAGCTATTAAACTCTTTTCCACAGTCGTCCAGTAGGGGCGGGTCAGTTTAAATGTGCATGATCTGCACGTTCCGTCCTGTTCATGTTTCATCATTTGTGGGGCCGTCCATAAATGACGTCACACGATTTTGGACGATTTTTGACCCCCCCCCCCTCGTCACACGGCGTCACAAAAAGTCAGACCCCCCCCCCCCTCAAATATGACGTCACAAACCATATTTCCATTTTGAAAATCAAACATGCTTCAAATCACTTTAAACGATTGTCATTGTAGTGCGTATTTAATGTGGCGCTGCACTCTGATGATGTCGGAGAAAACACGTATTAAAAAGGCGTTGGAAAGCTTAATGGAGAGTACAATTATAACAATCATATATTCATTCCACAGAATGAAAAGCCCTGGTAGAATCATTAGAATTAAAATGTTAATAACAATCATTAAAAAACATGTTCAAAATGTATGCTTCTCCATTCTCCCATGGAGAAGCAAAATGCTCCTTCATGGAATAAATAAAAGGTGACCTTAGTAAATTTAAATAATCAAATAGTTAATAATGAAAGTTATAAAAAATTCGTGCTGTTATAACAATTCTAAATGTTTTTAAAGTTGCGCATTTTGATGTGACATTTCTCAAACCCCCCCCCCCTCGTCATAAATGTCTGACCCCCCCCCCAGGTGCGTGACGTCATTTATGGACGGCCCCTGTGTACGCCGTGTAAATGGAACAAAACCTGAAAGTGCAAGCAAGCGGCATGGAGAGATGCACGCTGGAGTTGCACTGACAGAGGAACACATGGCCTAGAGAATATAGATACACGACGAGGCCACTTAGTCTGGCTTTGTACGTAGCTTTGCTCTGCTCCTATGAGTCTAAGCCATTAACACTGGACCCTAATGGAGACTTAGTCTGCCTCTGAGCCTCATGCATTAACAATAGCGCCATAGGCATTGACACTGAACTCTAAAAGAGCCTTATTAGTTTGGCTGGCTCTGAGCCCCAGGCATCATCTACAGAGTGGTCCGGACGTATTGTGACCTCCGATTAATTGACCCCTAATATTTTTCCTATGTATATTCATTTCTGTTTTAAATAATCGTTACGTAAAACATATTACGTTTTAGATAATTAAATGCGGGGGTCACAGGACATCTGGACCGCCCAGTACACTGAACCCGAATGGAGTATATGCCTGGCTGGCTCTTTGAAACCCAAACATTGCCACCGAACCCTAATGGAGCCTTTGACTGGCTCTTTTAGTCTCAAACATTGACACAGAACCCTAATGGAGCATTTGACTGGCTATTTTAGTCCCAAACATTGACACATAACCTTAATGGAGCCTTTGACTGGCTATTTTAGTCCCAAACATTGACACAGAACCCTAATGGAGCATTCGCCTGGTTGCTCTTTGAGCTCCAAACATTGATAATGTACCCTAAATGAGCCTTAGACTGGCTCTTTGAGCCGCAAACATTGCCACAGGACCCTAATGGAGCCTTTAGACTGGTTCTTTGAGCCCCAACATTGCCACTGAACCCTAAATGAGCCTGGGGCTGGCTCTTTGTGCCCCAAACATTGCCACTGGACCCTAATTGAGCACGAGGCTGGTTCTTTGAGCCGCAAACATTGCTACTGAACCATAAATGAGGCTGGCTCTTTGAGCCGCAAACATTGCCACTGGACCCTAATTGAGGCTGGCTCTTCGAGCCCCAAACATTGCCACAGGACCCGAATTGAGCCTGAGGCTGGCTCTTTGAGCCCTCAGCATTCAGGGTCATTGCTGGGGGGGGGGCTCCGTTTTTCCCAGGCCGCGTTGCTAGGCAACGTAACGGAGAGCACACGCACCACAATATAATTTCATTACGAACGTACACAATTCTATAGAATGACGAACACAGAACGCAATTATAAATCGGCACTTTTTCCGTTCTTTTTTGTTGTTGTCGTCTAGCGCTGCCGAATCTACCCTGGGGGCGAGTTGCGTTGACGGAAACGCGCGAGAGAGGCGAGGCGAGAGAGAGAGGCGCGGCCTCTCCTCGTCGAGGCCGGCGTCACTCGTGTCAGGAAGAAGGCGTCTCGGGCACACGGAGCGCGGCGTAAAAGTTCGCCTCGAATGAAGCTCGCGAAGTCGGTGAAATCGTTCACGTGAATTCGTTTTGCGAGCGCGGATTCAGGACGGTCCCCCCCCCACGTGGCGACCCCCCCCCCCCCACGAGGCGACCCCCCCCCCCACGAGGCGAGCCCCCCCCCCCCACGGGGCGAGCCCCCCCACGAGGCGACCCCCCCCCCCCACGAGGCGACCCCCCCTCCCCCACGAGGCGACCCCCCCCCCCCCACGAGGCGACCCCCCCCCCCACGAGGCGACCCCCCCCCCCCCACGGGGCGAGCCCCCCCACGAGGCGACCCCCCCCCCCCACGAGGCGACCCCCCCTCCCCCACGTGGCGACCCCCCCCGCCACGTGGCGACCCCCCCCCCCCCCACGGGGCGAGCCCCCCCCCCCCACGGGGCGAGCCCCCCCCCCCCACGGGGCGAGCCCCCCCACGAGGCGACCCCCCCCCCCCCACGAGGCGACCCCCCCTCCCCCACGAGGCGACCCCCCCCCCCCCACGAGGCGAGCCCCCCCCCCACGAGGCGAGCCCCCCCCCCCCCCACGAGGCGACCCCCCCCCCCCACGAGGCGACCCCCCCCTCCCCCCACGGGGCGACCCCCCTCCCCCCCCTTTTTTTCCACCGTTGAGCAAAGAACGCGGCGCGAGGGGCGGGGGGAGGGGCACGTGCGGGGGAGTTTTTTCCGCGCTCGTAGGCGGCGGCGGATGTGACGCGTTACTGCAGCCCGTTAACGTCTTTCATCACGTGGGGCGGGGGGTGGGCGGGTACATGTGTCGTTAAACCCGCCGCCACCCGACACGGCCAATTAGTAAGGGTTGTCACGTATTAAACGGAACGTGACAATTCGTAACGCTTTGTGTGTTTTGCTCAATTAATTGCGTGCTTAGATATCGCATCTTTTGTTTATAGAGTTTTCCGGGGGAGTTTGTGTGCAGTTATTTTTTTCTTATTAAACAAAAAATATAATGTGTTTTTTTAGCGGTAATGCGATTACTTTGGTCATCTTCGCCGCGTCGTTGTGCATCCCGATTTTTGGAGATGCCGATAATCGCGATATCCTCCCGGTTAACCGCAATGCCGACTCAGTTAACCGCAGTGGCGACCATGGGGCAGATTCGTCCTTCGAGGAGTTTGTGTTGAGGTTCGCCAAGAAGTACGGCTCCCAGCGGGAATACGACGAGAGATTCGCCGTATACCAGGTGAGAGAACTAAGGGCAACATGCGGAATCCCAGGGTCCAGCCACTGTTCATAACTGAGGTTCATTCTTTCTAGATTTGAAGTTTTCGTGACTGCAAGGATTCATACTCTTTGGTTTTTTCGGTGAAGTCACGTAGGTGAAAAATTGAAATAAATTAAATCACGACCTTTCGGGCGCAACACAAGCGTCCTTCAGGTAGCGTGTCTCGGAGACACACTTCAGCGGTGTGCTTTCACTTAAGCGGTTGTGCTTTCACTTAAGCGGTTGTGCTTTCACTTAAGCGGTGTGCTTTCGCTAAGTTGTCCCCACCTGAAGAAGGACGCTTGTGTTGCACCCGAAACGTCGTGATTGAATTTATTTACATTTTTTACCTACGTGACTTTACCGAAAAAACCAAAGAGTGTAACTGAGGTTCAGACGAAGGCAACACGAGTGATCTGTTCGTGCAGTGTTAACAGAGGCGTAGCTAGGGGGGGGCAGGGGGGTACATATGTCCCCGGGCGCCAAGGTAAAGGGGCGCCAAAATGAGGCTTACAACGTTACATTATAACTTATTGCGGCGGGTGCGGCAGCCTGAAACTACTGCACAAATCTACACCTCAACCTAAAAGTTTATATATCCTGCCACACACAGCCTACATGTCATGTAATTACATTTTGGTACGTGATTAAACGGGTGGGGGGGGGGGGGCGCCAATTTTATAGTTCGTCCCCGGGCGCAAAATATCCTAGCTACGCCTTTGAGTGTTAATGACAGGCTCACAGAGCCAGACGAAGGCAACACGAGGGATCTGTGGGTGCACTGTTAATGACCGATACTCGTAGAGCCAGAGACATTCATCTTTTTCTTGTGTTTTCTAGGCGAGCCTTCGCCGACACGAATGGCTCAACGCCGCTGCGAGCGCCCGGCACAACGGCTCGCGGTGGCGGCCCCGCTACGGAGTGACTCGCTTCTCCGACCTCACCCCGCAAGAGTTCCGAGGTATGCAATCGAGAGAGAGACGGCGCAACACGAAGAGGTACTGTCTCATACTCTTTGGTTTTTTCGGTAAAGTCACGTAGGTAAAAAAATAAATACATGAAAAACAACTCAATTAAATCACGACGTTTCGGAGGCAACGCAAGCTTCCGTCTTCAGGTGGAACCGTTACAGCCAAAATCACTGTAATAAGTGAAGAGAGCTAATAGAGAAACGCGACTATATAGGGTAAGAGGGGGGGAGGAGCCGTGTGGAGTCGGGGAGGGCGGGTGCTAGGCTGAGTTAAGCCGATTGATAACATCTATTCATTATACAGGAGAGGGGGGGGAGGGTTAGTATTGTCTCATTATAATGGCCTTGTCGATCCTGCTTCGCCAGCACTTCTGATGTCCCCGATTCCAATCACTGCACCATATTACACTTTGGATACTTGTTTGCTGAAGATGAATGGCAGGTCTTCCAAGACGCCTGGTCGGCAT